TGTCTCTGCTTATTTTCTCTTGTTCCTGGCAGAAAGAGGCAATTTGGCTGGAGTCCAGCACATAATCCTGGTGCTGTCAGGGAAAGGAGGTGTTGGAAAGAGCACCATCTCCACTGAACTGGCTTTGGCTTTCAAGCACGCTGGGAAAAAGGTATGTGCCATTCCAAGACAGTGCGGTACAAACGTTAGAGCAGCCCTACTGCCTCCATACACAAACTTTGGAGCTTCCAGATTTAGCCACACTGCCTGAGAAATTCAGCCTTTAGGATTTCCTACTTTGACGAGTGTTTCTTTATTACAGCGATGATCATAATTCCACTGCCAGTCAGTGTTTTCCACTGAATTTCCATTGATTTCAGAGAAGCTTTTGGGGGGGGGTCACAAAAAAGAGAAATAAGGGCTGCAGGTTGTCCACACCCAGCCCTTTGTGGTAGGCCAGCACTCTCCAAACTTGGCAATTTTTAACACTTGTAGACTACAGCTCTTAGACTTCCCCAGGCAGCATGCCTGGCTAGGAATTCTGGGAGTTGAAGTCCACAGGTCTTAAAATTGCCAAGATTGGACATCCCGATATAGGTTAGAGATTTCTGGCTGAAACTTGGAAATCTACAGATTTGATAGTGCTGCACGTATTAGACCAACAATGTGATTTGATACCAGTTTGTTTCCGTATATTCTGCTAGGATTACCACAGCTGGTTGGACTGGGAAACAGAAGGCTTCCAACATTCAACTTAGGAAGCTTTAGACTGAAGGCAGCTTAAGGAAGCGGATGGCATGAGTCATTTACCTGTGGTAGAGTCATCTCCCTCTAAGGCAGTGGTTCTCAACCTTTTTAATGCTGCGACCCCCAACCGGTCGTAAGTCGAGGACTACTCAACCGGTCGTAAGTCGAGGACTACTCAACTGGTGCAGCACCGTTTGCAGAATGGGACTTTTGGCGGGCTCAGCAGGGCAGAGACAGCCTGGACAATTCCTATTGGCTTTTGAAAGCCAATAGAATTAGACTCTATTCAAGAGAGTCTATTCTATTGGCTTTCAAAAGCCAATAGAATAAAAGGGAGCAGCACAGCTAAGGAAAAGGGGAAAAAATGGCGGACTGTGTTGTTTGGCAACCCCCGTGAAATGGTCATTCGATCCCAAATGGGTTCCCAACCCGCAGGTGGAGAACCACTGCTCTAAGGCATGGTGGATAGAGTGAGGCATTAAAGCTGCACTTGGTTCTTGTTTCTCCCCCCCCCTCCATTTTTAGAGACATCTTGCTGATTCAATTGGCCAAAATGAGTGGCATGGTTTCCTGCTGTTCTGAAATGGAAAACATACAAAGCCTCTGTGATAGGTTTTAAAGGAAGCCTGCCATCATTTAGAAAAATGAACTGAACACTCCAGATCCCCGTTAAAGAAAAATGCCTGCCCTGCCCATTGCAGTTGTTAGCTGCTCAGTAAGTACAGCCTCAGAAAGTTAGATGATCCACATCCAATGCAAGTCAAAGCACGGAGCAGAGGGATGTAGGGTTTCTTGCTGTTGGCTGTACTTGTTGGGATTGATGGCAGCTGGTCTAATATTGGAAGTTGTATAGGTTTGCCAGCTTATTGTATAAGGGGGGGGAGGTAAACATTGTGTCAGGAGATCTGTGAAATGCAAGAGGTATCCGTGATAAGATTATTTGCTCTACCTTTTGAGCTTTGCATAGACAGTGTGTACCTTTTGACCCAACTGTTTCACAGCTCCCACACTAGCCGTCTAATTACTCTAGCCTGATAATTTCATTCTTTAGTCTTCGGCCTTGCCTGCTCCTATGCACATTTCCCAAACGAAGACAACTCTAGATGCCCAGATTTCCTTTGCAGTTGGTCGGTCGATTTGGTTTCGGGAGTTTTAGAAGTCCGTTCCTTATTTTCTATTCATTTCCTAGGAAAATAAAGGGAAGTCGAGATCGTGTAAACTGTATAGTGTTCACAGGGAACTACAGTTTACCTGATCTCAACTTCCGTCGTATCTGTGGAATTGCAGAATTTCATGTAAATGGGCAATGTCTGGCAAGAGTGCCAACTTTTGGACAGATTCCGTAGTTCCCTGTACTATTGTTAAACCTCGCAGACCACCAGCAGTGTCTGAACTGTGGATTGGAGGACATTACTCCAGGCAAAAGCCTCCTGAGATCTTTCTTTAAAAAAAAAAAAAAACCGACTGCTTGTTTTTCTAGGTCGGGATCCTGGATGTGGACCTTTGTGGCCCCAGCATCCCTCGCATGCTGAATGCGCAGGACCGAGATGTCCACCAGTGTGACAGTGGCTGGGTGCCGGTCTTCGTTGACCAGGACAAAAGCATTGCTCTGATGTCTATAGGCTTCCTTCTGGAGAAGCCAGATGACGCCGTGGTGTGGAGAGGACCAAAGAAAAACGGTACGGAATGATGTTTCCGCTGCCCCCCCCCCGCAAAGCAAGTACCACTTTGGTGACGAAATGTGGGAACGTGTCTCTCGTATTCCGGTCAGTGGTCCTCATTTGCATATTGTGCCTTCACAGCTTTAATAAAGCAATTCGTCGCCGACGTTACCTGGGGAGAACTTGACTTCTTGATTGTGGACACGCCGCCTGGGACTTCCGACGAGCACATTTCCACAGTCGAATCCCTCCGGCCTTTTAAACCTCTTGGGGCAGTTTTGGTGACCACACCCCAGGTACAGGCACTGCCGGCTTCGGACATTCCGCTGACTCACATCACCAGGATCCAGAAAAAATGGGACCCTTTATCTGAGCATCCCCATGTTCGCGCCCCAAATCTTGACATTCTGCATTTTGTACCTGTCTCACTAAGAACAAGAGATGATTCCCCCTCCAGTATTTTTCCAGTGCAACTGCTGGAGCAGCATCTGGGTTTCAAGGCAGGGTCTGAAGTTTCTGAAATCAGCAGACGCCTTGTTGGCGGGGTTAGCCTTTCGTGCTAAACTCTGAACAAAGTAATTAACCGTGATTAGTGAGGTTTAATCAGCTGGCCCGAATCAAGTCCAAATAAAATAAACTGAAATGCAGGGTGAGAAGCCAGCAGTTATCTGGGAGATCTTGAGGAACATGATACCGAGTGCTACATCCCTCACTTGTCCATGATACGCAGGGATGGCTGGATGTAATCTTTCTGCCATTCCATGGTGCTACATGAAGATCTGGCAAAGTTCACCGTCTGGATAGCTCTCCCTTCCAAGATGATCTTTTAGTAGATACGTTCCAGTGTACCTACAATGGATGGATGGCGAATGATAAGTTTCTAGCCAAAGCAGTTTATGCTTTGAACCGTTTCCCCCTTAACTGAGTTTCTTTCCTTCCTGTAGGAAGTGGCGGTGGGAGACGTAAGGCGAGAACTGACATTCTGCAAGAAAACCGGCCTGCGGGTCCTCGGGATTGTGGAGAACATGAGCGGCTTCATCTGTCCCCATTGCTCGGTGAGGATTGGGTGCCAAGCCTTGTTTGGATGGTGGATCTGATACTGAAGCTAGTGGCAGCTTAAGGGTTTCTAAACCTGGGGCCAAAAGGAAAGATAGAATTACTTCCAATGGTGCTTGGGTATAGTTAATTGCTCTCCTGCACCTTAACCAGACTGAATTACATGTAGGGGAAGCTTCTTTTAATCTTGGGCCCTTTTTGCCTAGAGAGGTGAAGATCTGAAAAAATAATCTGAAAAAAATCCGAAAATCTGAGCTTCCACCCAACAGGTCTTTGTGGTTTTCTTGGCAAGGTTTTGGAAGTGACTTGCCTTTGCCTCCTCTTTCCAAAGTCAGAGAAAGAGTGACTGGCTCAATATTACCCAACTGGTTCTATGCTTAAGGGGGATTAGAACTCACATCTCCTGGTTTCTAGCTTGATGCCTTAACCACACCAGACTCTCTCTCCAAAAGCAGCACGAGCTGAAAAGTTAAATCCTCACTTTTAGAGACGTGCAGTTGTATTTTGATGGCCAGACTCTGTAAATGATGGGTATCCGTGGCTTAAACTTAAGCTGTACTAGAGCAGAGCAACTTCTCAGTTACAACTGCTGGGAAACTTTGAGGAAGCATCTGCTGGGTGCTTCTGTGGCATACAGAGATGGATCCAGCTGCCCATTGCAGCAGCAGCTCTCTTCTTGCATTTAGGAAAAAGCGGCCATAACTGTATGGATGTGTGTAAAATGAATTTGTGTGTAAAAAGAATTTTTAACATTCTTCTTACAAATACAGCCTTTGTCGTCACCTGCCTTTATAACAAAAGTTTTGTATCCTTCCAGGAATGCACAAATGTTTTTTCCAAAGGAGGTGGGCAGGAACTGGCCAAACATGCAGGCGTCCCATTCCTGGGTGAGTATTTTCTCAGTGAATATTAACCTGTAATTAGCTAGTAACTAGCCAACACAACTGTGCAAACTCCACTATTCAAGGGTGTCTCGGTGGAGAACAATCATTTTCAACATCATATTGTCCAATTGCCAAATTTCTCCTAGAATTACAGCTGGGAGAATAGAGATTTCAAGAGGCAATTTCTGTATTTGCATGTAACTTGCACACTAATATAATAATACGGTGTGTTTGGTTTTATCTTAGCAAGTTGCATGGACATAATCTTTGTGGCTTATTACTTAGCGTTCTTTGCAAACCCTGCCGGTTGTGACTTCTTCTAGAAACCATACTTAAAGCCAACTCTAACTTAGCATAATATCTAAACCTGGTCAGTGATAAAACAGGAGATGTAGAAGGACAACCAGGGCATCAGAAATGGAAAAGTGACGTATTTTTCCTTTGGGGAGTGGAAGGAAGAAAAGCATTGTTCGCTTCTCCTCATGCTGGCTTTTTGGCATTCTCCTTTCAACAGGCTGTGTACCTCTGGATCCACAACTTACACAAAGTTTGGAAGAAGGCAGAGACTTTCTTCAGGAATTCCCCAAGAGTTTAGCCTTCTCGGCATTAACAGATATTGCCCAGCATCTTTTGGCTGAGGCCTCCACCCCATAGCTCCAGAGCAACGAAGAGTGGAGTTCCTAACGGCTAACGTCTCCTTGTTGCTCAAGCAGAAGTGAATGAATCTGATCGGGAAATGGGAGACCGTCTCTTGCAGAAGGAGACTTCAGTGGAGCAAATTATGATCCCTCAAATGGATATTGGTGCATTCTTCCCCTGGCAGACGAAGTGACCCACTTTGTGCTTTGGAGTGATCTATCCTGTAGTTAATTTTGTCGGTCCTTAAATTATTTCAATTTCACCCATGAAGAACCTGTTTTACATCTGAGAATATGGCCTTATTTAGATACATGTTTCTGAGACAGACAGAGATGGAAAAAACTGTGGGTGCTTACATTCTGGATCTCATCCTGTATCACCGTGCATTGAGGCCTTTTAAATCAGTGCATGTCAATCAGTGAAACTCAAAGTCAGCATTCTCTATTGCTGTGCCTAATTGATCATGAATCAGGATTTTTTTTTTTTTTAGTAACTGAATTATCTATTAAATTGTTTCCAACTGCAATCAAGGCTTGTGCCTGTGTATTCTACTTTATTTTTCATATGCAAGTAACCTGTATTGGTGCTGTCTAAGATTATACACACGCGCCCGCACACACACAGACACACATGCACAGAGTAGTAAGTTCAGATTGTGTAACAGTAGGGCTTCCCTTAGGTGATAATTTAGAAAACCACAACAGCCTGATTTCCTTGTACAGGAATTATCAAGAAATGCAGTTTATGGATTCCTTAAAAGGTTTACTTACCTTTCGTCTCTATTTTAAGCATCTCACGTGGCTGCAGTGGTAACGGCAGACTAGGTGGGACTAAAAAGTTCAATCAATCAATTCCAACTTTGCAAGATCTTTTTTTTTCCCACGAGAAGTTGAAATTGACTGATGCCATAGGTTCGCCACCACTGACAGGCAAATGCATATATCAAAATTAGTTGAATTCCTTTTTTTCCCCCTGTTATGGAGCCTATCAAGTTATTGCAGAACCTGGTTTGGAAAAAAAAAAACTTGTTTCCAAGTGATAAGTGGGCATTATGAGAAAACGGCAGCACCCATATTCCCCACCCATCTCCAGGGGCAGTAGAAAATCCAAAAAAAAAAAAAAAAACTTTATAAAGGGGAGGAGGAGGAAAAGGAAATATTAACCAACTTGCTGGGATATTTGAGTCCTAAAGGCTTAAATATATCTAAGGAAGTTGCAAATGATACCACTCTGTGATTCAGAACATTACTTGATATTAATTATTTTCCTTAATTAATTTTCCTAAATGTTAAGGTCATTCTCCGTTAAATCAAACCTGAGTAGGTGATTGAATGAAGTCTGCGCAGATTTTGTGGAAGCAGTATGCAAAGTTTGTCACCTGAATTGTTTTAACTTCCCAGTCTGATCTACAACTCTAGAAAGGCCTGCTGGACTCTAAAAACATCTGGTCTGATAGTGTTTTTGAGACCAGCCAAGGACACTTGCAATAGACCTTTGTGATGACTTGAATACGCTTGAATATACACATTCAAGTTGTGCTTGGTTCCTGATGGCTTCGCAAGTCCAAACCCGTAGAAGATTGAGTTGGTACTGTTCCCTAGAAAGGAGAACGTTTCTTGAAAGAAAGCAAGAAGGCGACAAAACACTTAACAATCCGCAAAATGATCTTCTTGAATATCTCGTAGATCAAGTCCTACCACTTCCGCTGGGCTAAGGCAAGTGATGTTGTTGTAGGTATATTCAGGTGCTTCTTCTGTGATGGATTGTGTGTACCGCAGGACCACACTGGGTTGCTGCAGAGCGAAGTCTCGGAGATCCTTGAGCGAGCAATTGCACTCCCATTTGTTCCCTTCTAGCCACAGCTGAACCAGTGTAGGTGACGGGCCGAGCCAATCCACCGAGAAGGTTTTCAGAGAGTTGTTCCTGATGTTCAGATAGGTCAGTTTTGAGAAAGACGCCAAGGTGCCACCGTCCAAGGTCTCCAGGAAGTTGTTGGAGAGATCAAGCCAGGAGAGACGCGACAACGGGACGAAGGCCTCAGGAGAGAGATCTACCAGCTGGTTGAAGGACAGGAGGAGATATTCGAGATTCCTTAGGCCTGCAAACTGATTTGGGGAGAGACTTCTCAGCCGGTTGTGCTTGAGATCCAAGTCAAGCAGCTCGTGTAAATCGTTCAAGCTGTGATCTTCAATGACGGAGATGGGGTTGAATCGCAAAAAGAGCCTTCGCAGACTGGAGAGATCAGAAAACATTTGCGGTCTGATCCTGGTGAGGCAGCAGTTTTCCAGATGGAGGCTGTGGAGATGGCTGAGACCCCTGAAAGTGAAATCAGGGAAAGTGGTAAGGCAATTCCCCGATAGGTTCATCACAGCCACGTTGGAGAGTCCGAGAAACGCCCCAGGCCTGATCTCCTGAATCTGGTTGTCGTTTAGAGTAAGAACCTCCAGTTGAGCCAATTTATCAAAGCTCTTTTCCATCAAGGTGCGAATCTTGTTGTTTCCTAGCTGCAGTTCTTCCAGGAACTGCAGGTCTTTAAAAGTCCGGGGACTCAAGCTAGTGATGGAATTGCTGGAGAGACGCAAGACGTGAAGGCTCGAAAGACCCAGGAACGTGTCTTCAAAAAGGGTAGCAAGACGGTTGTGGGAGAGATCTAACCATCTCAAAGATTTCATGCCCCAAAAGGCCCTCGGAGCGATGGCGTTGATTTGGTTCTGGTTCAGGTAAAGTTTCAGCAGCTTTTGAAGCTTTGTGAAGATGTTACCTTTGATGCCCTTGAGGGAATTCCAACTCAGATCCAGTTCCCGCAACTCGCTGAGACTGTAGAACAATTGGTGTTGGAGATAGTGCAGCTTGTTTCCAGCCAGGACCATCTCCCTTAAATTGGGTAGGTCATGGAACACTTTGTCTGGCAGGACCACCAAGGAATTCCACCCTAGGTTTAAATACCAGAGGTTGGAAAGTCCAGCAAACACACCTTCTTCGATCTTGCTGAACTGGTTGTTGTTGAGGCGTAAGGAAGCCAAATTCTGAAGGTGGAGGAAGATATTGGGTGCCAGTGACTTCAGCCGATTCCGTTCCAGGAGCAAAGAGTACAGTTCTTCCAAACCATGGAAGGCATGTTGTTCAATCCCTGATAACTGACTGCCCTGAAAGTTAAGAAATTCCAGGTTGGAGAGGTTCCTAAAAGCAAGAGCGGGCAAGGTTGTGAAATTGTTCCCATCCAGCCACAGCATCCTTGTACTTCTGGGCACGTCTTCGGGCAAGGTGGTAAGGTTCCGTGCACTGCAGTAGACACTCAGATCATCGTTGCAGTCGTCAAAGCTACAAGCGCATAGGGTGGGGCATTTCTGACCTTCAGGACTGGTGCATTCTTTCAGCATTCTTGCTTCAGGATGCAGAAGCGTTGTCACCAACGCCCAAACAAGGGTCCACGTGGAGGCTGCTCCTGCTGGATGGATAATTAAAAGAGAGGGAAAAAAAATAAGAAAGCTATCAAACTTGGGACAAGCAAGCAAGCAGATGTAGAACAGTGTGAAGAATTTTGAGCACATCTCAAGAACGGGGTTGTTGTTGGGAGGCAAATATCAGATCAATATCGTGAGGGCCACATCTCAAAAAGAGTCCATGGCTTCTTGGGAGGCATCTCGAGCCTGGGCCTTCCCTGCCGCTGTGCTTGCCATCTCCAACTTCACAAGCAATACTCAGGAAAAAGAGAAGAAAGCACAACCTCTTTGGTCTGTCCTCTCTTGTGGTGAACAGGGGAGCTAAGGAGAAGATAATGGAAACGAGGAAGCACACAAAAATCATAGCAACTCAGCTCTTCCTTAATAGTATTCAATCGGTAGTGCTCAATACTCACTCTGTCCTAGTGAATCTAGCACAGTGGTTCTCAACCTGTGGGTCGGGACCCCATTTGGGGTCGAACGACCATTTCACCAGGGGTCGCCAAACAACGCAGTCCGCCATTTTTTCCCCCTTTTCCTTAGCTGTGCTACTCCCTTTTATTCTATTGGCTTTTGAAAGCCAATAGAATAGACTCTCTTGAATAGAGTCTAATTCTATTGGCTTTCAAAAGCCAATAGGAATTGTCCAGGCTGTCTCTGCCCTGCTGAGCCCGCCAAAAGTCCCATTCTGCAAACGGTGCTGCACCAGTTGAGTAGTCCTCGACTTACGACCGGTTGAGTAGTCCTCGACTTACGACCGGTTGGGGGTCGCGGCATTAAAAAGGTTGAGAACCACTGATCTAGCAGAATGGTATGTATAGCCCATCTTCCCTTCAGATCTCAGAACAAATATAGATAGATGTTCCATTATGTGATAGCCTCATGAAGAAGGTCTTACATGATGTTCATACCCTCATCCTCTTTACACACAGGATACACACAGGGTATATCCTATGTTCAATTCTCAGTAGAGCACTTGAGCCCCATGGAATTACACCTGACCCACGTCTAACTTCATCTCAAAGACGATGAAGTTAACGACTTGATGTCTCCTGGTGCTCAGTGTAACAGGAAACAACACAGGAGACTCACAACAGCAACATATTTTTGGGGGAATACTATTGTGTACAGGGAAGCTGTCCTCTTAGAAGGGAGCAGTGAGATTTCGCACATGCACACGATTATTTAAAATGTACAGTCGATAAGAAATATTGAGGGTCACCACCCATTCCTCCAAAGTGATCTAGTGAAAGAATCCTAAATAAAATGTCACTTGGCATTTCCTGCTACCGCTACTTTTTTTTTTAAATAAATGTGTTACATAAAAAAAAAATAATCCGTTAAACGACAGAAGCTTGGAAACTCAAAATAATCTCTGAACTATTTTTTTTTTTTAAAACGGGACGCAATTTGAGAAAGGATGAGGTAGAAGGAAATTCTAAATTTTGAACGAAAAGGCAGCGTTAACAGAGAGAAAGAATGCCGGCAACTTCTATATGAGGTATCATTATGAAACCGCTGGGATTAAATCCCTCCTCGCTCATCCGCACACGCAAGGGTGTTCAGGTGATGAGTATGTTACTACACCCTTGTGATTTATCTGAAAGTTATCAGTGCGACAGGGCGAAGAGAGACTTTTAACCCGAATGCATAAGGATAGTTTAAGGATAGTTTAAGGATAGTTTTAAGGTCAAGGTAGATTTGTGCACAGAAGATTGCAGTGAGTTGATGGTCCTCCTATACTACTGAACGCACTTAGGAAACACCACAGCATATATATATTTTTACGGAGAACCAGTTTTGTGTAGTGGTTAAGGCACTTAAGGTGGGAGACCATAAGTCCTAGTCCTTCCTTAGGCACAATGTCAGCTGGGTAAACTTGGGCCAGACCAGCGTGCCTGGCTGAGGAATTCTGGGAGTTGAAGTCCACAAGACATAAAAGGGCCAAGTTTGAAGACCCCCCTGAGCTAGACCCTCTTTCTATGCCCTGGGAAGAAAGAGGCGAGGGCAAACCACTGCTGGAAAAAAAAAATGCCAAAAAAATTGGAAGGACTCATCAAGAGTGAAATAATGGATGCAATCTAATGCATTTAAAACCGAGTTAAAATCCACAAATAAATAATTTTTCAGACAGTATTTAATAGAAGTTACATTTTTATCAGCCAGTAAAGAAGCTGGTTCAGTTTTATTTATTTATTTGACTTAGATGTTGCCTGAATCCAATTCAGCTCTGGGTGGCTTAGAGGATAAAAATAAAATAACAAATATACAGTAATTAAAAAAAGATTAAACAGTTGTTTAATGTGTGCCATGTAACATGCTCAGGTGATAATAATTCAGACCAAGCGTGCTACTGCCACACTTCGCTATGTCACTGCCAACATAGATAGCACCATTCAAATCTGAAATGACCACCATTTGGGGTTTACAGAAACTGAAATCTGAAACCAAGGCTTGTAGCTATAGATTCCAGTATCCATAAATCCAAAATATAAACCTCTGTGGACATGAACCTTATGGAGATAAGCACCAACAGCCATTCATTTCCAAGCTATGGAAGTGCATATAAGGTGGCAAAATGCATACTTATCGTGCTTATGATATAATGGCAATTGGCAGAAACGTTCAGAAGGCTACAAATATTGAAATTGTGTGAAAGAGAATGGGGGAAATGGATTAAAAATTACCTACCCTCATCTTCCATTCAAAAAAGCCTCTACTAGACCAAAAAGAAATAAGTAGTGGATGCAATCTGGGGCATTTCAAGTTTTTAAAGTGGAGTTTTTCAGACTTAATAAAATATCACATATTTAATTCAGGCACCCTGCAACACATCCTCCAAACATGGCCAACACTAAGAAATGTACATTTTGAGAAATAATAATCATCGCTTCAAGCTTGTAGGGTTTTCCCCCTCCTCTTATATGCATAAGGAACAGAAGTGCTATGGAGCCCCTGGCAATTATTTTCCATACATCATTGCAAGAGCAAGGTTAGGCAAAACCAGTGGCCAGGTTTTTTTATGTGCCCCATAGTACCCCAAGAATTAAGGAAATCATTCTGGCGGCTGTGAAGGTTTCATATACATTCTGAGAATGTAACTGGTATTTTAATACCATGCAGGTCAATATGGCAATGAGGACATAAGAAGCACATGGTTGGGTTTGAGTTGTGTTGCTTGCCTTCCCTTTTTTCTTTTGGTCCCGTTCTTTTTCCCTCGTGAAATTGAGCCAAACCGAACAGCTTCATCTGCCTGCATCATATTTCTGCTCAATTCTGCTCTAATATATGTTTAATGAAGAGAAGGACGAGGGGGGACATGATAGCAGTGCTCCAATATCTCAGGGGTTGCCCTAAAGAAGAGGTAGTCAAGCTATTCTCCAAAGCACCTGAAGGCAGGACAAGAAGCAACGGATGGAAACTCATCAAGGAGAGAAGCAACCTGGAACTAAGGAGAAACTGCCTGACAGTTAGAACAATTAACCAGAAGGACAACCTGCCTCCAGAAGCGGTGAATGCTCCAACACTGGAAGGTTTTAAGAAGAGACTGGACAGCCATTTGTCTGAAATGGTATAAGGTTTCCTGACTGAGCAGGTGGTTGGACTAGATGACCTCCAAGGTCCCTTCCAACTTTATTATTATTATTATTATTATATTCCTCTTCAATTTCTTCTTTTCCGACCTGATGCTCCTGCCCATTTGCTACAAAACGTTTAAGCAGTTTGCAGTCTTTTAAAACAACCATAGGGCAAAGGGGACACATTGGCACGATCTCCCCAGGGTGTGCCCTTTTTCCTACAACGCTGATCTTTGTAACTGGCAACACACAGCGGGGTAAAGCTAGGACCCTTTGCAAACGAATCCCACTCCAAAAAGAGCTGCACAAATTCTGTGCTGCAGTCCAAACCGTGGAATGCTTCACCTTAGACCCCCCCCGTAGGGAGAAAAATTAAAACTGTAGGAACAAACAGGCAAAGCCTGCAAAATCTTTTCCTTTTTCTGCCCAGGCCGAAGTAAAACCAAAACACTGGATCGCATTTTTAGGGGGGGGGGCGGGAATGTTCCTACCTTCACGCATTCTGGTACTCTCTGGCCGAAGTGTGAAAAGTCAACGGTCTTGCAAGCAACCTCAGGTAATGCTGTCCTCTGTGTTTCCACCCCTGATACAAATAGAGCAGTTCAGCCTCTAGCACCCTGTGCCTTGTCCGGCTGTCTGCTTTTAACCCATCATTTACTGGCACGGAGCACTGAATGCCTTCCAGAGAGGAACCTGGACAGTGTTCACCTCCTGGGAAGGGACGATGCTTGAAGAATAAGTCTCTCTGGAGTTGCCTTGGCAAGGGGGTCTTCCCAAGCCATCTGGTTGGCCACTGCAAAAATATTTTTTTAAAAAATGTAGACCTTTGAATTAATCCTGCTTCATCAAAGTTCTGGCCTGCTGGAGCAGCGAAGTGGAATCTCCAGGTTGATCTTTTGAATACGAGGTCAAAGGGGATGGAGAGCGGGGTGCTGGAGGAGAGGAAGCCTAGAAAGACGTTAGAGGTGGCTTCTGGATTTCTCAAGAGGCATGCGAATGGGGCACTAGGTGGGGGCCAAATGCTGGTACGCCTGTTGGCTGGGTTCTTATGACTGTGAGTCCTGGGTGTAGCAGTCTCCAAGAATCAACCCTAGGGCAAGGGCCATGTATTAATTCTCCTGGGGATGAAGGTGTGAACAGATCGAAGATATGGGTCCTCCTTAAAAGTTTCTTGGAGGGGAAAGGGCCGTAACTCTGCCCTTTGGTTTAACCCCCACCTTTCCAGATAGGTTTGCAAAAGACATGAAAGCCCAGGGAGCTGCCATTGGTCAATGTGGCAACTTTAGGAAAGCCAGATTTGAATGCATGAATAACACAATAAACTGGTGAACAGATGCTGGGGCATATTGTACTGCTGAGTTACTTTTGCTAAAATAAAATATTTTTTTTAAAAAAACCCTTTTTACTTTTGGAGGAGCTCTTTACAGCCTTTGCTGCCTCTTCGCCATCTTGGCTCCTACTGCTTAGTTATCCCCTACTTACCCTGCTAGCTGGAGTGACTATGACATGGATGGGAAGGTTAAAAGCGGACTGCAGTTCCCATCACCCCTTGCTATTGGATATGCTGGTTAGGACTTCAACCATGTCTTCTGGTGAAATGAATCACTCCATGTAAACAGGTCCACATCCCAGCTTAAACTTTTGGGGAAGGAACAGACTGAATTGCCAATTCCTACAGGACTAACACAGTCCTTAACTGAACTTTTTGTAGCGCTTTTGTTAACACACAGATTCCCACATTCTTTCCCCTACTAATAGGGCACAGGTTGCGGGTTTCCATTTCTAGTGCTAGCCAGAAATCAAATATCAACGCCATAGCCATTTAAAGAAAAGGCAAATTCTCTTGGCCTCCTTCTTATAGCACAGATCCGATTCCATCCTGCTTCTTAAGGTTACAGTGGTCCCATTAGGATGACGATGATAAAGTGGATATTTCTTCCCTGGGTAGACACATTGGGTGTCCTGCTCAGCTGCATACACAATCAACAACTATCAAGGTGTTGTTCAAATTCTAGGTGCCCATCCAGCTGCTAAAACAAAGCACAGAGCAGGTTCCTGCAGTTTGTCTGACCATGGAAGAGTCAAGCAGAATGATCTACTTGCCTGAGGACCCCAGAACGTAACCCACAATTCTTATGTGGCTTACTGTGATATGCAGACATGGATTGTGATCTAACTTGATACAAGACAACTTCTTTGAGAAGGAAAGATCTAACAAGAAACTATTAATCCAGATATTAGTACTGATCAAAAGGAATATTCAAGAACTTGAAGCTCCATGGAGATGCCTATCTCTGGCTTGGCTTCCCTTGGCTATACTTAATATCACAGAGGCAGGAATGCAGCCTGGGGGTGTCTGAGTGTTCAAAGTATGTATGGCTGCTTAAGAAAGGAACACGGTCTGGTTGAAAGGGTGCAGGATCCCACCTCGTTAATGAAATACCACCTATTCCTGTATTTGCTTTGACAAAAGTTTTCAAACATTGAAAAGCTCTTTAGGGAAGGTGGCATGCACGGATCTGCAAGAGCATGAAGTTTTAGAAGGAAAGGAAGACAGAGAGAAAAGGAGAATGGAGATACATGCCTTCCACAGTTTGTCCTTCCTGTCATTCCACATTTCTTCTCTATTTAATTTACATTTCCCCCCCCCACTTCTCTTGTCTATTTTAACATTCTATTCTTGGAAATTATAGACCAAAAGGGCAAAATGAGAGAGACACACACATACAATCTCATAGACGCTAAGTACATATTGACACAGTGCTCAGAAACAAAGAGAGAGAGAGACAGACAGACAGACAAGAGAGACAGAGAGAGGAGAGAAAAAAAAAAACCTGAGTCAGCAGGGACCTTGGAGCCAAGAAAGATAACATCTGAAATTTCATTAGGCACTTCATTTCTATAGACAGTTATAGGATTATCCAGGGTTATTGGTTTTTTTTTGTTTTTTGTTTTAAAAATGATGTGCAAAACAGCACCTTTTATAATTAATAAACAGCTTTCTCCATGCACTCGATTTATTTATTTTTAAAAATTTATATGCTACCCATCTCACTCTGAAAAACAACTCTGGGCAATGGAAGTAGCTCCGGGTTGCCTTTTGATTTTAGCTGTCAACAAAATCGCCGTGTTCGGCAGGAGAAAAGACAGAGGCCCTACAGACAAAAGAAATAAACTAAGGGACAAAGTCAGGGAAGGGAGTGATAAGGAAAGCCAGGTTGCATTCAACTGGTTTGCAGAAACTGTTAAGATGGTTATACTTTCCTGGCATGGGATTGCAGCATCTGAACTACTGATTTGCAATGACAATTCCCGAAGTTTCACAAAGCCTTGAAAAAGGCATGTTCTTGAGATTACCTTCTCCAGGTAAAAATCTACCCGCCTCCTATGTTGTAGGCATAGAGAATGCAGACATGCTGTGAGTTCCCATCCTCATCCACACCCATCTGGACACACCTGGATGTAAAACAGGTAAGGGACTAGAATCCAGCTTTTTTTATGGAAAGCTAGGGGTCTGTTCTCCCAGAATAGCTTAGCTTGTCGAGACCACCACAAAGGGCCCCATCCGTGATAATATCCAGGAAAACAATTCAAACATTACAGAGGATGGAAGCGTTTCCTGATTTACAGTGATCTTTTCCCCCATACGTGCTGAATTAGGAATGTTATTAGGTTATTTACTGGTGTATTGATTTAGTTAGGTTGTATTTTTTTGTTGGTCTTCGATTATGCAAGCGGATCAGAGCAGTATGAAGGAGGTAGCATATAAGATCTAATAATAAGACAGAGGAACCGTTATTTGTGCTTTTAATTTAAGCTCTGTATCGTGGACATCGGTGGGATGGATTTATGGGAGAGCAAGTAACGTCAAGCATTGTGATGTCATCCCACAAAGACACGGATTGCAGACTGAATGCATTTGCATTGTGATTTTTGTGATGCCCTTGGGGTGTCTTGCATGTATGATGTTCCTAGCTGGTCAGTTTGAGTTTCCTTCTGTGACTTTTCTGATTGGTTTCAGATTTTATTGCCTTGTATTTGAGGGCATTATTTTTGCATGTCCTACACAGAGGGCTGCCTTTGGAGTGATATAAGCGGGTAGTAAATGTAATTAGGAGCAATTAGACAACCCAAGACAATCTGAAAGGAAATGGAAGAATTGTGCAATCACTACCACTTGAATCTGTAGGAGGTGGTGACCAGGAGATGAGAATAGGAAAAGGACTTATTAAAGGAGCCAGATTCCAGAAAAGGACTTATTAAAGCAGCCAGATGTGTTAGGCATCAGTTCGAATAACCCTTAGACAGCATGAGCAATGGCTATGCTTATGGAGAATTGAAATCCAAGTTGGATTAAAGTTCCTTAATAGCTGACCCTCAAGTTCAACAATTATTCCTGTTATTAAAAAAAAAAAAGTAAGGTAGTCCTTAATGATCCCAACTGGGACCTGCAACTTTACTACTAGGTCGGAAATCACATGGCCGTAAACTGTGCTTTCCAGCTAGAAAGAGACTATTCAGTTTCCCACCTTCAGTTTCTTTTTGTCTCCTAGCCACTTCCTTACCCTTTGAAATGCGTGAGTGCCTGCTTACTGTTTTGTATACATCAAAAGCATTGTGATGCATTGGCAGCCGGAGGCTGGGAGCTAGAATGGAATGCTATGCAAACAGCTTGCTCTCTTGAAATCCCTTTCTCTCCAATCTCTCTGCTCTGCAGGAGAGGGGGAGAGAAAAGGCAAGTAATTTCTATAGGCAAATCTCTCATTTGACTGACCCGTCTCCCACACACATACCCAGAAAGCAGAGAGATTGGAGAGAAAGAGATTTCAAGAGAATATCATAAGCTGTGTAGCATGCTATTCTTTTCAGCACCACTGAAACTATCTCTGAACATGTGGTTAGTAAGTGAGGGATACTTGTATGCTGTTTACAATGGAAACAATCTGGAAATATCTTTAGGAAGCTATACGGGCAAAGCTGATTTTTACATAGATCCTTAATTCATCCACCTTATAGGAAACAAGTACATACCATTTCACATTCCACATGTGTGTGTGTTTGTCTGTAAAATAACTGATTTTTTCTTTAAAAAAAATATAGAGAGACAATTTTTACCATGAAATCTCTCTCTAAGAATCTAATGTGGAGCAATCACAATAGTTTTGTAGAAGCTCTGTTATTTTTCTGCAATTTGTAAAGGAACCCAGGTGTTATATAAATGTTTGAACCTCAACTGTCTTGTCCTCCCAAGGGTGGTTCACTGATGCTGAAACTCTTCACCATTCAGAAGGAAGCAGGCAGTCAAAATCAAATCAATCTGAGTTAACCCAAAGATGATATATGGAACTGTCCTAAATAATGTTTCATAGCAATACGTAAGTTGATTTCTAGTGTCATGTTCTCAAAATGTGCCACCCTAGTTTTTCAATTGCAGTCACTTCCAATTCATTCAAATGTTCTGCTCCAGGGAATATCTTTTCAAATATTAAACTAAGATATGGAACAAATACAGTTTTGGTTCCTGGCACTTCTAGGAATGGCTCAAAAAGATTTCTGCCTTAAACTCTGGAGAACCTCTGCTAGCCAATATCAATAATACAGAACTTGATGTACTAACCAGGTGAGTCAAACTAGAAACATCTTCCTAATTTGCTAACCAGCCGGATTTCAAACGCAAGAGGAACAATATAATTAAGCACAATGAATTCCACTCCTGATTATAATGTCTTGAATCTTCTGCATGATTAGAAGGAAGGCTACCAAAAATGACTAGTGGAAGGGGAAAACATCCTACACTTGTTGGTAAGTTGTTATTAATTTTCATTTTAATACACCATTAGCATAAATTATCCCTGTTTCCACAGGATCTGTAAAAGAAGAAAAACAAAACAGTGGCACATAAGTAGCAATAGAATAAAATATTCTATATCGTAAGGAGTGTCAACAGTAGGAGTATTAGCTGAAATAATATTAATAGGAGGACTGAAACTCTGCATTACTTACAAATGGAGGCATCAATGGGAAGAGACATTCAAGAGCTTCAAGTGGGCAATTTAACCGCCACCTGGAATTTTGCCCTTAAACTAGTTTTCAAGGGCCACACTGAACCATGAATGGCAGCTTTCTCTAAAAGCGACACAGAGTTAGCAAGTCCTGGCCAGTAATAGTAATAGTAGTAAAGTTGGAAGGGACCTTGGAGGTCATCTAGTCCAACCCCTTGCTCGGGCAGGAAACCCTACACCATTTCGGACAAGTGGCTGTCCAGTCTCTTCTTAAAGACTTCCAGTGCTGGAGCATTCACTGCTTCTGGAGGCAGGCTGTTCCACTGATTAATTGTTCTCACTGTCAGGAAGTTTCTCCTTAGTTCTAGGTTGCTTCTCTCTTTGATGAGTTTCCACCCGTTGCTTCTTGTCCTGCCTTCAGGCGCTTTGGAGAATAGCTTGATTCCCTCTTCTTTATGGCAGCCCCTGAGATATTGGAATACTGCTATCACGTCCCCCCTTGTCTTTCTCTTCGTTAAACTAGACATACCCAATTCCAGCAACCGTTCCTTATACATTTTAGCCTCCAGTCCCCTGATCATCTTTGTGGCTCTTCTCTGTACTCTTTCTAGAGTCTCATCTTCAGACTTCAAGTGTAGGATTTCAGGCCCTCCACAATAACGTTAGGTCAGGCGATTGACATTTTAAAGAGCAGGTCGTTGAAATTCGCCATGGCTGTCAGGTTAAGTTCATAAAGTAGGACGAAACAGGGTTTGTGAGGGGCACTAACCTCAAGCCCGATGCTAGCCAAAATACTGGGGAGTAAATAGGTAGGGAGAGCCGGTTTGGGGTGGTGGTTAAGGCACCAGGCTGGAAAGGAGACTGAGAGTTCTAGTCCTGCCTTAGGCGCACAAGGTCTGTTGGGTACAGTTGCTCTCTCTTAGCCCTAGGAAAGCAGCAGTGAGAAACCACTTCTGAAGTCTTGCTAAGAAAACTGCAGGCAGCTGACAGGAGTCACTTGGGCACAACCTGCCTCCAGAAGCGGTGAATGCTCCAACACTGGAGGTTTTTAAGGAGAGACTGGACAGCCATTTGTCCGAAATGATGTAGGGTTTCCTGCCTGAGCAGGGGGTTGGAGTAGATGACCTCTAAGGTGCCTTCCAACTTTATTATTATTATTATTACATATAGAAGAAAAGTGTGTGGGGGGGGAGATCTGCAATCCTAAAGTTGTTGCTGAATTACAACTGCCAGCAGGAATGGCTCATTTCCCTATTTGATTAGGCCATCTTTATTCTCTATTTTAATTGCTTGTTGTAGGTTTCGCTTAGGTTGCTTTGTTATTTTTTAATAATCTTGATTACCACAGATATTCTTTTCCCCCGTCGTCTTTGTAATCTGCTTAGAATCTTTGGATTGTGATGGGGTTGGAAACATAGCAAAATAAAATAAAATAAAATAATAAAGTAAAATAATAAAATAAAGGGAGGAATTCTGAGAATTATAATTCAGCAGCATTTTGAGAGTCGTGGGTTTGCCTCCCCCCCCCTTCTCTCTCCTCTTCAACACTTCCAACAAATCCTTTGGTTTTCCAGGGAACTGAAAGCCAATCATTTTTAACTCGACAGTTTTGGAACGTAAAGTTGCGATGTGCGTCAAACACCCATCTATTTATTCTAGAACAATCATCCATCCAACTGGTACAGTGCCAAATGGCTGTCCAGTCTCTTCTTAAAGACTTCCAGTGTTGGAGCATTCACTGCTTCTGGAGGCAGGTTGTTCCACTGATTAATTGTTCTAACTGTCAGGAAGTTTCTCCTTAGTTCTAGGTTGCTTCACTCCTTGGTTAGCTTCCATCCGTTGCTTCTTGTGCTGCCTGTTCAGGGGCTTTGGAGAATAGCTTGACTCCCTCTTCTTTGGGGCAGCCCCTGAGATATTGGAACACGGCTATCATGTCACCCCTTGTCCTTCTCTTCATTAGACTAGCCATTCCCAATTCCCAAATGACATTCAGGGGTAGAGAGTGCTTCTTTCGTTCGCTTTTGTCTTACTGGAAAGTTGGGGTCACACACCACTCATTTCATTATATCAAAGGAGGGTGACTATAGAAGGTGAATCTCAAACCACAATAGTGGGGCAAGAGATGGTTAGTGGTCATCTTAAACAGCCGTGAGATTCTTCTCCACTTGGCTGTGCCTTGCAAACTCTTTGGCGCAACTCATCAAAGTAGGGGCAATTTCATGACTGTCCCCAATCAGTCACCGGAAGGAAAAAAAGGATGGTCATGAAGATCCGAAAAGGCAAGTCTCTCCATTATTGAACTCACGCTCAAAATGTATCATAACAGATCACAAAAAACACCTTCCAAACATTACTTAATCACACCTCCTATTGCCTACTGAGCCAACGAGGATGCAACGATGCTTGCCGTTACTCGCCTGAGATACAAGGTTTCGTAAGAGACCAGACAAGACTCAAAGAAGTGAATTATCTGTTTTCCAGGTCCCTGGAGTTGTTAAGTGTCATTGCCAGAACCACTAACGAGGTTCTACAACTAGGTTAGTAGCTGACTTCCGTGTTTCGTTCAAGTGGTAGTTTAAGAAAAACCAAAGGTTACAAAACTAGGACTATGTTCATGTAGTAGGGCATTAAGCAAGCAGCATTTCTATCTGGCTCCTCCTTGGTGCCAGCCCCGTTGGCGAGACTGGATGAATAGACTTGCGGAAATGCCTCCTGCTGTTTGCTGATCATGACCCCTGACACTAGACTACTCCTCCCCTTAAGTCCCAGAAACTATAGTTTGCTATTAGCTTCTCATTCCTGGTTTGTTTGAAAAAGACTCTTGATTTGGATGTGATGGTCTTAACCATAGAAGGAGCTTTGGTAGTTTGCGTTGTCACTCCCAGTGGAAAGAGGAGCCAAGAGCCAAGCCAAGACATTGGCCAACGGACTGCAAGACACAACTTGATTACAATTAGGACAGCATTCTTAGCATCCTGAGGGGTCCTTGGTGCTCTCTGAACGGTGGTTTTCTTGCTGACGTTTCGTTATCCAAACTAGGTAACATCATCAGTGCTAGAAGGGAGAGCGGTTTGCGGAGAGGAGGAAGGCGAGAAGGAGAAGGAAGTGGAGGAGCACTGTGGGATCCGTGGTGCTCTCTGAGCTTGGTGGTTTTCTTGCTGACGTTTCCTTACCCAAACTTAATAACATCAGCAGCACTGGTGATGTTACCAAGTTTGGGTCACGAAACGTCCGCAAGAAAACCACCAAGTTCAGAGAGCACTGAAGACCCCTCATTTCAACCCCAAGCTACAAACAGCCTCCTTTATGGAAGGCCACCTCCCAATATGGTCAGCATATTTTTAGGGATGTGATCTCTGGAAGTAACGAAACCCAGATAGGTTTGTCCTGAGACACTCCCTTGTGGCGTGGACTTGTAGGGTGTGCGTCATCACATTTCACCTCAGGCTGCAATCAGCTTCTGCTGGTGCCCAAAGGGGGGGGGCGCTTCCCATTATTGTTTCTTCTAGGAATTCGTTTGTAGGGACAGGGTGTGTTGCCCAATCAGATTAGATAACCATTGTCCAATGTAAAATTGACATTGGCGAGAAAAGAAGTCAACCTTTTGTTGAAAACAGGCGTCCTTGTGACTACCTGACTTTCTGGGCAGTGAGGGTGTGGGGATGAAAAGTCAGCTATCCAAACAAACATGGGTTCGTGATCAAGGTAAGCATTCACTTTACACTCAGAATAACCTCAATGTGAATCCTTTAGCCATTCCAAATCCCGGCAGAGCTTGTTTTAAAACCCCGCAGGGCTTCTCTCAGCCAAAGAAGTGGACGGAAAGTGGATCTAGATTTGGCACAGGCAGTCCTCGAGTTAAAACTATTCGTTTGGTGACCGTTCCACGTCACAACGGCACTTTAAAGAGTGACTTGTAAGCGTTTTTCACATGTACGACATCCCCAGGGTCACGGGATCAAAATTCAGATGGCAACCGGTTCATATTTACGGCGGTTGCAGTATCCCGGTGTGTGTGTGTGTGTGTGTGACGTGATCCCTTTTGGTGAACTTCTGACAAGCAAAGTCAATGGGGAAACCGACTTCAATTAACAACCGTGTTACTAACAACAACCGCAGCGATTCCCTTAACAACTATGGCAAGAAAAATGGTAAAATGGGGCAAAACTCGCTTAACAACTGTCTGGCTTAGCAGCAGCAATGCTGGGCCATACCTCAAGGTATGTTATGAATTGTAAAACGTTGGCAAGGATTTCTCACTTCCTCCTGCTAATAAGAGCGATCTTAACGGTTGAAATGCAGCCCGACCGGGAAAATTGTAAAAATTAAATAATAAATAAATAAATAAATAAAAAGTAAGAACCGGCCCTCGTTCTTACAGAAAAGGAACACGTAGGCACCTGTAACATGTTTAGTCCAGCCTGTTTGCTGGATTCTGAACCATTTGTCCTCTGCAATGGCAACAGGTTTCCTGGATCTCTATGAAGTGGGGGGAAAAAAGAGAGAGAAAATTAATACTGACTTCTGTGTTGTTGTTTTTTTTTTAAACATCATACGTTTTTCATTCCCTCCTTTGGTTTACATCCTGCCGTAACTAATGCAGGCAGCCTGAGCTATAGACGTATTCTAAAGGGGCAAACTAGATCTGACTGTAAGGACGTGCACTGAATGAGTACGTTCCTGAACATGCAAGTGGGTAATCTCGAAGCGCTTTATCATGATTTGGTCCTCCCTCTCTCTCCTGTTCTTTGAAACCCTGGCTTTTTCCTACTATTTTTTTGGGTGATGGCTGCAGCCCAAGTATCTTTGGCAGATGGCCTTCTGGAAGCCGCCATCTATCATCATCTGTTTATCCTGCATTTGGGAGGGGAGGGGGGGAATAAACGCAAAGCAGTGAACATGTTTAATACCCCTGCCATCTATTTTCCAAAGAACATCTCTGCAAGATAGTTTTGGGATGAGAGCGAGGGATTGGCCCAAAGTCATCCAGCTGGCTTGTCTAAGGCAGGCCTACAAGCCAGGGTGTCCTGATTTTTAGTCTGGTGCCTTCAAGCATTATACCCAGCGGGTTTTCCAACAGAAGGAGCTTGCCCTTACTTTCTTCTTCCTAGGCTGAGAGAGACAAAGACACTGGCCCAGCGTCACCCAGCTGGCTTTTATACCTAGGGTAGGCCTAGAAATCACAGGCACCTGGTTTCTAGGCCAGCACCTTACTCCAAAGTGGAATAAATGCTACACCAGCCATTACTCCAAACTGGCTCTCATTAATGTTCTGGTTGTCCCTTCTCTGTTACAAATCAGTAATGAAGCACAAGCCACGAACCTGCAGAGCAACCTATCCAGTTTTCGGGTACCTCTAAACGCTTAGTCAAAATCCCCTTTCTTGTGATCGGACCAATTGGTCTCCAATCTGATGGGTGATCTCTGCCTTGCTGATTTACCTGTCTCTCTGCTTCTTCCTGGAGATTCTGCTTCCACTTCAGAATAGGGTGGGGGGAGCTCTGGGGGGCCAGGGTAAGGGGGAGGCCACAGTGGTAACATGTTGAGAGAACCTGCGGGGTTAAAAAAAATCATCGTATCAATAGAATAGAATAGAATAGAATAGAACAGTATAAGAATAGAATAGAATAGAACAGTATTAGAATAGAATAGAATAGAATAGAATAGAATAGAATAGAATAGAATAGAATAGAATAGAATAGAATAGAATAGAATAGAATAGAATAATGGAACGGAACAGAACAGAACAGAATAGCTTTACTATCAGTTTAAATGTACACTAATCAGCATACATTAAAATGAAATTTCATTGCATTCAGCTCTCAAAGGGTAACCACCTCTGATATACACTACATAATCATGACAAAAGGTTATGCATATACCCACACGCACACGCACACACACATATACCTGTAGACTATCTGTAGAACAGCGACTTAACTGGCTAGGGCAGTGCCTCCTTTAAACTTTTCTAGCTTGGAGCCTTCCAGATTTTGAGGATGCAACTTACAAAACAAGAACTTTGCAAGCTTTAATATCAGGCCTTTGAGATCTGCAGAGAACCCACACGGCTTTCTCACTGAACTGTCACTCTCCCCGAGCAGCAGACCAAAGTGGATATTGACTTAGCCTCTTATGCCCAGTCTCAGATGCCTTAGACGGCAGATAACCAGCCTAAAGAGATACCTCTGAACCACAGCCTATCTTCATATCTTTCTCAGCTGGCTGCCCTTAGGACTGGGGACAACGCTGTCCTTCAGCAGAGGGAACTGGGAATGAACAGTCTGTGTGGTGTGAAATGGAGGGAGGTGGTCTCTATTTCCTCCCTCCCTGCTACGACCTCTGCACGGAGAGAAGAACCATGCTCCTTAGACACAAGGCTGACTGGGTTAGGGTCCCTGCACCTAAAAAGAAATGCTTCTTGTTGAGAATTGATTTGGGTTTTTTTGCAAAGAAAAGCTGACTGTCATGGTTCCGACAGATGAAATTCTTCAAAAAACTTCGAGGTATTGTTTACCTTAAAGCATCTTTATTTGAATAGCATAGCATCGGCACTAACACAGTCGAAGCCAAAAACTGAACTCCCCTCCCCTGAGCACGTGGTATCAAAGCACAATTCTCTCCTCCAGTTAACAGTCATAAATCACATTCCCCAATTAGTTTGAAACACCAGCTTCCCCTCCAGCTCTCCAGCCCGCCAATTCTTTATCATCTCTTGTTTCAATAACCTTGGTTCTCACACTAGGTTCAGTGTTGTTATGTCTAGATAGACTCTCATGCACATTCCTCCCCCCTCCCCAGCACCATCTAACTCTAAAAGCAAAAAGAAGAAAATGGTTGCATCTCCATCTGTTGTCAGTGCAAAAACATCCGATATTAGCAGCGTTGACACTGACATAAGTAGAAAGCTTTCAGGAGCCATAGCTTGGTGGAAGGAAGCTTTGCGTGCAAGAGAATGTTGCATAGGTAAGGGTGAAAAAAAAAAGACATCAGTCATAAATCCTGGAGAATCATCGCCAGTCTAGGTAGCCCTCAACTTACGATCACAATTCAGCCCCAAATTTCCATTGCTAAGTAAGGTGGTTGTTAAATGAATCGCCTCCCCCTTGTTACGACCTTCTTGCTACAATTGTTAAGTGAATCCCTGCAGTTGTTAAGTGAATCATGCAGTCGTTAAGCGAATCCAACTCCCCCCCCATTGACTTTGCTTGTCGGAAAGCAGCTGGGAAGAGGTGACAAAGGGCGATCCCATGACCCTGGGACAGTGCAACCGTCATAAGTACATGCCAGTTGCCAAACGCCCAAACTTTGATCATGTGACTATCGGGATGCTGCAACGGCCGTTAAGTGGGGAAACTGGTCATTAAGTCCCTTTTTTTCCAGTGCTGCTGTGACTTTACAAAGTTACAACTGGCTGTAAGTTGAGGACTGCCTGTAATTTCAACCAGACTGGGCAAAACAGAAGGAAACCCACTTTGTACGTTCCTTTCATTGCGATAAGGATGCTAAACTTTTCTGCAGTCAGGGAAGAGGCTGGTTTCGTTAAGCGTTTTTTCTGGGGAGAAGAACAAACAAGTAGCATTTGGTAACACAAATCCTGCACGCCGGCACTCACGGGTTGTCTGTGGCGCCGCAGGGTGGGCGTAGGTATAGATGGAGGCGGTGGGGTATTCTTGGAGATTGGTCGCCTCTTTCAAAATATCTGTTGTGTTAAGGAAAAAGGTAAAGGTTGCATAATCACTGAGATTAAATGCATACGCCAGGGGTCCTCAAACTTGGCTCCTTCAAGACTGGTGGACTTCAACTCCCAGAATTCCTCAGCCAGCGTGCCTGTCCACCAGTCATAAAAGGGCCAAGAGTGAAGACCCCTGATCTATCAGTTCATCTGCCCCATTTTTATCCTATCTTCTTCCAAAGGAATAACATCAATGTAGTTATGGTAAGCAGCACGCTCTCTCTTCACCACATCATGTGGCAAATGTTACGGCTTTATGAATATTTGAACCAGACTTTCCTGAATCCTAGTCTAACATGCTGTCACAGGGGCATTAATTAATTGTGGCACTATTACACTCTCTTTTGGTGGCTTTGTGGAACCTTCCATAACCTCGTTCTTTCCCGTTTTGTTGGACTGTATCTCCCACGTGGCTATCACGTTGGAGAAAGCTGGATGGATAATAATTCGTAAAGTAAAATGCTCTCTGTAGAAATATAAAAAAATAAAATAAAATAAACTTGCTGCCCTTCAACTATTTGTGCGTTTTGAATCAGGAGGCCCCTTCCTTTCTTGCCAGAGAGAGCAAAAGAGAAAGAATAAATCTTAGATAACTGTTTGGGAAAAACAACTTACCTGAATCTACTAGATCTTTAATCATGTTTAGGCAATCCGAAGCTCCATACTGGAAAGTGAATTTGAAAACAAGAAGTCCCTGGGTGGAAGCTGAGAAGAAAAGTCTATGCTGAGATCTTAAATCAAGGCTGAGGCATCATTACAGAAGACATAATCTAGGCCTCTTCCTGTCCTGTCTGCCTCTCTCTCCTGGGCCTTTCCAGATGTGTTCAAAAGACAACGATGAGAACTGTACAGGCAGTCCTCAACTTACGACAATTGGAACCAGATTTTCCATTGCTAAGTAAGACAGTTGTTAAGTGGCTTGCAACCCATTTTACCTCTTCCTGCCACGGTTGTTAAGCCAATCACTGCAGCTGTTAAATGAATCACGCGGCGGTTAAGTGAATCTTGGCTTAGGTTACAAATAGTGATCCAGGGGTAGGCAACCTTGGCTCTTTTATGACTCGTGGACTTCAGCTCCCAGAATTCCTGAGCCAGCATGGCTCAGCTTGGAAAGCTCTCCCTTTCCCCTCAGCATGGCTGGCTCAGGAATTCTGGGAGTTAAAGTCCACGAGCCATAAAAGAGCCAAGATTCCCCACCCCTGCCATAAACCCAGGATGTTACAATGCATGCCAGTTGCCATACACCTGGATTTTGATCACGTGACCATGGGGAGATTGCAATGGTTGTAATTTGGAGGACTGACTGTGCCTTTTTTCGGTGCTGTCGTAAGGGCGGCTGGTCGCTAAACGAATGGTTGCAAATGGAGGACTACCGGTCTTCCAAGTTTTCAAGGTCAAGTTCGAATAAGACTGAGCTAGAGGAAGCCTTATTTTGTTTCAGTCTAACCCAGCCAAGCTGCCAGGCTGAGAACGCTGAGTTGAAAAAATACAATTAAAGACAAAGGAAATCAAAAGATGGGCAAAACTACTGATCTCTATCAAATATATTTACCTCTTGATGGATATTTTGGGTAGATAATATCTACCTGTACAGATGTGGGGTCTTCAAGGTCTCTCTCTCTCTCTCTCTCCCAACCTTTTCCCACCTGCCTGTTCTTTCTCTTTCACGCAACAAATAGCCAGCCTGCAGCGTGAACTTGTCTGTCTCCTGATTTTGCAGAGCTCCTGCATAAAATGTTGCGTTTTTGGGAAAAAACTTTAGGATTTCCCCAAGTTTGCTATTACTTTCCTCTGTTGATTCACTCGTTCTGGTTATCAAGGGATTGGGTGACAAATAAAGGGAATTGTCATCCTAGTGAGCCCGGGATATTATACCAATGGGGTATATATTTTTCTGTCCCAATCCCTGACCATTTCCACCAACTGGCTGTCTTATCAGAGAGAGAAGAGAACAGAACTAGACATTTAGCTGAAAAGACGGATAAACAGATAAACCAATTATGGAACCTACTCAGAGTTCCTTGGATGTGTTGAGGTTTGGAGTCGGGCTCTTCCTCCAGAAAGCAATCTCCCAACAGCTGCAGAGGAAAACGAATGATGGTCGACCCCTTATCTTTATGCTGGAATATTATCTAGGAATGTAATTCAGATTCAAATTCAGATAACCTTTATTGTCATTTTTTTCCCCTGTGGGCACAACGGCCCGCATTAAAAATGAAATTCGGTTGCTTGCTCTCAAGTGTACACATACACAACACACATTTAAAACATACTATATACCACATATGTATAGACCTAGACCCTTACATATAAGTAACATATAAATATTAATCACTGTCCATCTCGAGAAATCAGGATAATTTCACGAGAGTTAGCCTGGGAAGCAAATGCCTGCAAATGTACCCACTCCAACGCTTACCTTAAGGAAAGTACAGGTAGACTGTGACTTTCCCAGCAGGCTTCTGACAAGCAAAGATTTAGCCAGATTTGCTTAATGACCACCTAATTCACTTAACAACTACCTTGCTTAGCAATGGGCTCAATGGTGGTTGTAAGTTGAGGGCTACGTGTAAAATACGTCTAACGTCCTTTTCCATACAAGGTGGGCTGCTTACAAGTTAATAATAACAACAACAACAATAATAATAGAGTTGGAAAGGACCTTGGAGGTCTTCTAGTCCAACCCCCTGCTCAGGCAGGAAACCCTATACTATTTCAGATAGTTGATGGAGGAAATCACTAACCTATAAGGAGACTTATTCAAACGCTCTCTCAAAGACTAATAATGGTCCTGGTCAAATTCACCCACCAGAAATGAAAGATGGACTATTATGTTTCTTATCAAAGAGAAGCTGCTGCCTTCTTCAGCCATCTTAATAATAATAATAAAGTTGGAAGGGACCTTGGAGGTCATCTAGTCCAACCCCCCGCTCAGGCACGAAAGCCTACACCATTTCAGACAAACGGTTGTCCAGTCTCTTCTTAAAAACTTCCAGGGTTGGAGCATTCACCGCTTCTGGAGGCAGGTTGTTCCACTGGTTAATTGTTCTGACTGACAGGAAGTTTCTCCTTAGTTCTAGGTTGCTTCTCTCCTTGATGAGTTTCCATCCGTTGCTTCTTGTCTTGCCTTCAGGAGCTTTGGAGTATAGCTTGACTCCCTCTTCTTTGGGGCAGCCCCTGAGATATTGGAACACTGCTATCATGTCACCCCTCGTCCTTCTCTTCGTTAGACTAGACATACCCAATTACAGCAACTGTTCCTTATATGTTTTAGCCTCTGGGCCAAGAGCTCTTACTTTGTATTGAGTGAGGTACAGCATCCCCTTCTTGGCTCCTCGCAGTTCTTCTGGAATATCTGGTTCTCCTTCCAGAAATAATACCACTTCACTATAGTGAGCGAGGACCCTGGAAATACAACAGATGGAGCAGAAGATTATAATGCACCTCAAGGGGAAGAGAGGGAGACTTCCTAGGAAGGACAAGTCAAGCTAGATCATTCTACTGCAGTGTTTCCCAACCTGGACCATTTGAAGAGATGTGGACTCTCTAGGGGATTCTGGGAGTTGAAGTCCATGTCTCTTCAAGCTGTCCAGATTGAGAAACTGTTTTCTGTTGTCCTAGTGCCATGAACACCTGCCCCTTGGTTGCAACCACATCTCAACTTGTCCAAGTGAGATGTTAGGACACTGATACAGAAAACTGCCAGAAATTTCTTCTCCTGTTAGTGTTGTCTTAAAGAGGACATTCAATATTCTTTGTTCTTTTGATGTTGTTGCTTGAGACAGGGACAATCTTATCTTTGCCAAACCACGCACTCCGTTTTTCCTGCATATGCGTCAGCTTCCAGTGCTGTGTGTGCCTTGAAACTTTTCTTGTATAATTCATTGAAGATACTTTAATTGTTCATTTCTGGATTTGAGAGGTTTCTACCTTCCTGACTGCAGTTTTCTCATTGTCTGTCAGCCTTCTGAGCTGCACCAGACCAGGAAACCAACTCTAAGGAAGACTGAAACTCTACTTTATTGAGACAGATTACAGAATGATTTTGAAAGTTTGTGTTTTCCCTTTCTTCTTTCTTCTATTCCAGTAAGGAGTCACCATGAGTGTCTTCCTGATGTTATCTCCTTTTCTGGGACTTTAGCAGTGGTGGGATTCAGCCAGTTCACACCACTAGATAATTTTTGGTTGCCCAGGCCCAGAATGGACTTCCAGAAGCAGCATCCACACAGAGAACCGGTTGTTCACATATTTGAATCCCACCACTGGACTTAAGCAACGCTACTGCCTTGTTTTTTCAGTAACAACTTTGGAATATTTCTTTCAAAGCAATCTTCATGGCTCTCTACATTGTTTTTCTAGCTCAGGGGTAAACAGTGAGGCCTTTGGTGCTCTTTGAGTTTAATTGGGTTTTTTTGGGGGGGGCAGACATTAGCATTGATAACGTTACCTAGTTGGTTAATGCAACATCTGCAATGAAACAACCAAACTCAAAGAGCACCAAGGAACTCCACCAGGCATACAACTCAGTTCCAATCTTAAGTCCAACAGCAAACATGCACACTTGTTTATTTTAAAAGCTACTCTCCTCTGTTCAGTCCGGTTCCATTTTTTTATGCTCTTCTTATATCTGCTATTCAAAATGCAGCTCAAGTATTTATCTTGTCCCACTGTCTGTGCTTTTACTTCTAGCATAATAACCAGTTTAAATATTTTCTTCTGATTTATGTTTAGCTCCTAACATTTGCTTGATTCATATAACTAACTGGAATAAAATTTACAAATCTTGCTTAGTATTTCTTAGAACAGCATAATGTGCATAATGTAAATTGTCCATTATCACCACCCTTGATGTTTATACCTACTTGACATTCTAAATATTTTCTAAGTATTTTTTTAAACAGCGTTGGAATATATGTTAAAAACGGTATCCCACTCCTTTGTTGTGCTCCACAAAATATTCATTTTTCCTAATGCATAAACAATTGCCATTTTAATAATACTGAATATCTCTCCCATCTATTCTTATGGTTTCTAGCTTTTAGCCTTCAACCTATTTTAATACAGCCTAATCTCCCGTTAAATATTGAAAATCAAATCCTGAGCAATTCTAGATATTTCCACGTTTGAACTAAATCAACACGTTTTCCCTGTCCCCAGTAATACAGTCTTTACCCCTGTTATTTTGGATATATTTAATTTAATTTACCTTTCCTCAGAATTGTTGGCTGACCTAGAGAACTGATATCGAGTCACCTCCATATCGACAGAGGAGCCCTTTTCTTTCTCCGATACTCAAACTCTCCCTTCAGATGAGGAGCACTGGAAACAAAGAGAAATATCTGGATTATGTAAGTATCTCTGTGATGTCAGCAGGTGAGGTAACAGCCCTGACTTTCAGTTGAAATTGGGGCTGTTATATATCCCTTTCTTTCTCCATCCTTTTTTCTCCCCCCAGGAGCTGCTTCCATGGGGCTAGATTTATACTATGTTCCCATTCCCCTTTTCTGTCAATACAAAGTTTTCTTAGTTCTATTAGGAAATTCATGTTTTAAACATGTGATCATCTTCTTTGTTCCATCATTTGCTTACAGGAGTTGTATGCACGGTCGGTCCTTCCTTCCTTCCTTCCTTCCTTCCTTCCTTGCACGGTCCTTCCTTCCTTCCTTCCTTCCTTCCTTCCTTCCTTCCTTCCTTCCTTCCTTCCTTCCTTCCTTCCTTTCTTCCTTGCACGGTCCTTCCTTCCTTTCTTCCTTGCACGGTCCTTCCTTCCTTCCCTTCCTTTATTCATTCATTCATTCCTTTCGTCATAATAACCTAACAATACATAATAACCTAGCAACTCTTCAACCTTTCACCAAAAGACAAAATGAAAATTATATCAATGCAACTATTAAGGTTTAGAACAGTTTCAATGAAATCAGCAGGACTTAATTCAATTAACGGCTAATTGAATTCCAGTTAATTTCAAAGTGCGTGCTAAATGTATGACTAAATCTGGATCCAGCATTGTATATATGGAGATTCAGGAACTTTGTTCTGTCTGTTCAGCCGCTCATCCCCACCCATCATTCACCTTACTTTAGAGAAATTAAATATGACTTATAATATTATCATATAATACTTAGCATCTACTTTTCCTTGTACCTGGATGGTGTAAGGCCCATCCATTTTTCCATGGCATTAGAACACCCATTTTAAGAGACAAGAGTTGTTAAACAAACGTAACAAATCACCAGCACGTCTATTAACTTGTTTATTTGACACACCAATTGCAAAATTGCTGAGATATCTTTTTTTTCCTTAGCTACAATCTTGCCACTATGTACAAAATATATGATAAATGTACTACACATATAAAAATACAATATGCATTACATATATACAGTACAATGTGCAAAACATGGCAAAAGTCAACATATGGAATTGATTGTAGGGGTGCAAACAGCAAATACGAAGGCATCATGGTCTCTTTTACAAAGGCAATAAAACCACTGGATGCTCAGCTCACCAGCGTGAGGGTTTTTTTTTTTTCCTTTTCCTTAAAAAAAAAAAAATCTAGCCGTTAACGAGGCAACCTTTTACAGACCGGTGTATTCATCTTCTTATTTTCATAAAGTGAGATGCTTAGACATAATTGGGAGTATGAAAAGAAGAAGAGGAACACTTGCCATGCGAAGCACGATGTCTACCGCAAGCAGTACAGTGGAATAAAAAATAAAAATAAATCTCCCTGACCACAGAGATCTGTGCTCATGTCTTAATTCAGTTTCACAATCAAAAAAAGAGGGTATTCCTATTATTTGACACGAAGACAGAAGCGACCTCGGAAATATCTACATCTTCAATATAAAATAAAATCCCTTCCTCCTCCGGAGGACAGTGCAGAAAAAACTTCTATTTTATTTTCCTGGTAGATTAAAAAAAATAATAAGGGGTGTGTGTGGGCCTTGGCGAGAGAAGCGGAAAAATGCTTTGGTTCTTCCCTGGCAATTTTTGCAATTACCACTTCTTTTAAGGCTCTGGATTTCTGAATCTGCATCGTCATGAAAAATTGGGAAAAAAAATACAAAATGTTTCTCGATTCGTGTTACAAAAACAACGAAGGCACAAAGAAACCTTCCGTTGTGATGGCACTTGCCAGTTGTTGTTGTTGTTTTAGGCTAGGACCTTGTATTAATTCAGACACATTCTGATCTCGGCTGTACACCGAGCTAAAAGGCTCCCCAAACTCCAATTAGATGTGCATATATCTGAAAGACCTTTTAGGTTTGTCAACGCACTACACCATTTGTTTGCAGATTATAAACCTAATTCATGAAACAAATCGCTTCCGTTTTTACAAGGTATTTTCCTCCCAATTTTGACAATTATGCAGAAACCATACTTTGCATGTCCTGCCAACGTAGACTATAATTCGCTGTACAAAAAAAAAAAAAACACCTGGGAAGGGGCAAGGAGGTAAAGAGCTGCCAATGGCTGTGATTTGTTATAAAAAAGGACAATCAAAATTCAATACTACTGTATATTAGCTTTGTCTAACTACGTCGTTTGCTCATCCAGAAAACAGGTGCAACTTCATTTCCGTATTCCAGTTCTAACAGAACTTTACAACTATTATTATTTGATAGCAATTGAATTCCAATGCAGTGTGTTAGGAATAGTTCCGCTGACTTGATCAATGAGGTATCATCCAGCCAAAATAAAACACTTTAGAATCCCATGGATTACCTGGAGTACTTTGGCTTTATCGTGGTTAGTGGGTCTAGGCCGTGTACAGACTGTGCACATCAACTACTACTTACTTTGTCCAGAAGTATTACAGAAATCCTTGATGACCCTCTGCTTTTCAGAATAAAAAGCAGTTTGAAAACTTAGAGGAAGAACAGGTTTTGGAGAGTAACCCATTAAATATAAAGAGATTAACTAATTGGTTCTGGAGTTATAGCTATGACTATAAAAGTCATCTTTGTGTGTGCAATATATATATGCCTGCAGTGCAATTCAAAGTAAGTTTACTCAGAAGTCAGTCCCAATAAAATAACTGAACTTATTTTCTTAGTCAAAGGAACCAAGACTGTCGACCCACTTTCTTCTTAACTGCTGCTGCTGAATCAACAATCTGAAGTATTTTTAAAAAGAGAGGCTGATAAGTAACATTTTTATAGTCTGTTCCTATTTGGCTACACAACAGCTTGAAATGCCCACCCAAATAGATTTGTTAAGCAGAATTTTTTGCCTGTATAAAAAAAACTCCAACCTGGAAATCATAACCATGACATAAATATTAACTTTCTCTCCATGCACAAGTGCACAGACTTATCCAATTATGTCCATAATTTCTAGTTTCTGAAAACAGTAATAGAATGCCATCACTGAAATATCACATGGCATCAGATATACAGTACACGATTAGGCATAACAATAACATGCTAGTTTGAAACCTCTATCTTGGAGGAGATTGAAGAAATATATATCCCTACAGCAGAAACTGGCCTCATTTTGCTTATTTGTTCTCTTATGTTTTTTTTCTGCAATCAACAAGAAAACTATAACCAGAAATGAATTGCAGAAAAATTGGTAACCGTTGTTTCTTTGTGATCCATTTCACAACTTCATCTAGGATGGGAAAGTGAGACTGGCATAAACAGACAGAACACCTGACAAAGTTATTCTTCCTTTGTATACCTGCAAACAGCAAATCTAGCTATGCTTCTATATTAAATTAATTTGCAATATGGAGAAGGGTGCCATAGCCTTATCTCAAACTTACAACTTAGTCATCCCTATCTGACTTCTGAGCAGCCATGTTTGAGATTACATTGCAAGCATGTATATTCTAGACACACAAGAACAGCTGGCAAATAAGCTTAGCCTGCAATAATCTTTGCTACTCTCTTCCTTCACAGTTTTAGAAAGAAGCAAGCAGACCTAGGCAACAGTAGTTTTCACTCTAGCCCACTCTTCAAAATATGATCTTCCAGATGCTGTAACTGCAGGTGGGGTGATCCTGAAATTCCCATGAGTGGACCAATCTCATAAATGAAAAAAAAAAAAGCAGGCAAAACTAAGCAAATGAAGAATCACGTAGCTGCAGTAAATTTGATATCTGATCAGAAGGCATGCTTAGTGCTACTAAACAAATTCCAAGTGTTTGTGTGCAGAGAAAGACGAGGCTAGCAGTGCAATTTGTAATCAAAGATAAGGAGCCAAATGTTCATATTACTAAAAAAAAAAAAATCAAGTGTACAGAAATTATCCAAGCAATAATATATATGTCTGTATATATATATATATATATAAATATAAATATAAAGAAACTGTTCACAAATACCAGATTCACATACACTTGGTAAAGATTGCACATCTCAGGATGTCTTATTAAAAGCAAACCATTACCCAGATATGTTTTATAATAAAGTTCTGCTTCGAAATGCACAGAAAACAACACACACTCTTAACCTAAAAATAAATAAGATTCCGTTATAAATGTTCATGATCCCTTAATGTTTGTTTTTTTCCCCATAGAAGGAAGTTTCACACTGGTTATCACACTTTGCTGTCTGGATTTTATTCCAGGCTGAGTTTGCTTTTTTTTTGTTGTTGTTGTACATGCTCCCGCATGGCTTGGATAGCACTCTGGGCATGAAGGCATTTGTGTAGCATGGCACCACATAATACTATTTAATTTTTTAAAGCTCTATGTACATGCTCTCTGCAATGGCAGCCTGGTCAGTAAGAGGACAAAAAAAGTCTTGACAATTGTGGCACATTCTAAGCAAGAGAGATGTAGCCGATGAGCAGGAAAGGACAAGCTATTGCTTACAAGCTATAAGAAATTAACTTCTCTAACTGTGTGGATCAGGCTCAATAGTCAGATCCTTGATAGGTTCCAACTGGATTACACAGTGAGAGAGACACACACCCGCATTACCAGGGGAGGCTTTTGAAAGCCAGGCTGGTGACACGTTTTTATAAGCTCTATGGATTTCATGCTTCCATTCTAACTCCAATACATGCTGCCTATACAGTATTAACATTTTAAAATGGCAAAAGATGAAGAAGCTTGTTCAGTGTCAACAACTGATCTGACAGTCAGGAGGATGGGAGGGGAGCTGCTTGGAAAAGAGGATTCATTTACATTTACGGGTATTCAGGTAGAACCAATTTTGAAAGTAGTGAGATGCACCATGTATAACAAATATTATGTAATGATGTACGTCAACTCTCCAGCCTAGCATGTTTCTGTAACTGCTAAGGGGCCAAGGAGATCAGAAAATTAGAAGCCTGTCACTGCTAAAAGTACCAAACCAGGGAAAGCTAATGAAACAGCCTTATATCAGCCTTTCCTGGTTTCTCTGGGGACTTTTCTTTGTTCTCAATTTGCTCTGGGGTAGAATTCAAAGAAAAGAGGTATGTAGATCAGCACATCCTGCCGAAAAAGACAAACTGTCCCTTAAATCCAATGGGAGTTGGGGATGGAGAGTCAGATTTGCTAAACATCCATATTTAAGCATAAAGATGCAGTCAGCAGATCTGCTCTTCTTTGGATTAAAACATCATACGTGATGCATCTATGGAAATATTCTAATTGACGGCAATGTAGAGCTCGTATCTCATAGCTGTTCCTATTGAAGCCAGGGTAGAGTATTAAATATCTTATTTCAAACTGGTGTCTGTGGGAGAAAAAGGTATTTAGTGGAAGACGCTTAGCATATCAAAAGATTGTTCTCCCTCAAAGGATGGGGAAATGGAATGGTAAAGGTAAAAATACTTACTTTCTCTCAAAGTCATTTCAGACTGTCTGACTGAAAACACTCCTAGCTGTAGGCTAAACCAGAAATAAAGTTTAGCTCTAAAACAAAACGCAAGATGGCATAAAGATGTTGTTCCAAAGAAAGATCCCAAACTGGTATTTAGGGGAAAGTTGCTGATGTTTTTGGCTTTGGCCTGGAGCTACCTCGACACCAGGAATATTTCCTCGTCTCGTCTCAACAATTGGCATCTTCACAGTTATGCCTTTTAGGAGAAAACAAACGGCAACTGTGCACTGCAAATAGACAATCGGCTCAAAATATTGTGCATTGCTTGACACTGCTTGACACGACTGGATTTGTTCTCCTTGAATCAATGACCATTCTATGGGGTGCCTAAGGGCACAAGCAAAAAAGCTCCCACCTGCAGAACCAAGTACTGTTTTAACGAGAAACCATCCAAATTTTGACAAAGTTCTATTTTTTTTTTCTCAAAAAAATCAAATTCATCTGGTTCTGGGGAATGAAAAGAGAACTTTGGCTTGAAAAACCCGATGGAGCAATCTTTTAGAGCAGTGCTTCCCCTTGGCAGCTTCATTTGTGTGTGGACTTTCACCCCCCAGAATTCTGTCAAGGGTGATGCTCATGTGGAATTATGGGACTGAACTGGAAGTCTACATACCTGGAAATAGCCAAGGTTGGGAAACATTACTGTAGAAGGTTGCTGATTTCGCTTTAAATTTCTTCATGATTAAAAAGACCGCTAACTGAGATTTACAAACAGAAGCTGGAACCTGTTGACAGTTTTTTTAAAATCCCCATCTTCAAAAGAAAAAGAAAAAACCAATATAAAAGATCTGAATAGCTCTGATGGTGTTCAAAAGCAGATGATGTTGAAGGGATTTCTTTTGTCAATTTTTCATTCCATGCAGAAATTCCTGGCATATCCAAAGGACATCAAGCAACCCGTGTTGTGAAATTCTGGAATTCTGCAGTCTACTGGGAAGCACATGCTCCCTTCCCTTTTGGATAGAACTAATTCAAACTGTTATATGGGTGATGGCCCTCATTAATACATATGATATTTAAATAAAAAATGGGAAATTCTGAGAAGTTTTAGAACAACCGGACTATGGTGGTAGAATGAACACACTGGAACATGGAGGTCTGCAGATCTGCTTGCTTTTGTCAAATCTAGGAAAGGAGCATTGCCAGCTCCTTTGGGATAGGTGTGCAACTTCACAACCTATGCACAAAAGGAGTGGGGCTTGCATTGCGATGACACTACTTTTGTCAGACAGAATTTCTGTCCTCCATGTTTCTTTTTCACAGCAGTTATAAATTCCAGGTTTCATTTAAAAGGTAAACTATTAAACTTAATTCAAAATCCATAGGATGGATCAACTGGAAAAAACACCTAATCATGAGCAGTGCTCCATAAGCACAATACTAAATTCTAGAATAAAGAATAACATTCCAAGAACTTTAATTTTAAAGAAATGTAACATTTAAACAGCCCCCATCCTTTAATAATTCAGTTAGCAATTTTTACTGTATTAACCGATTATCCTCAATTTAAAGTTTAACGGTGATTTTTAATTTTCTTTTAACAATGGGGTTTCAATTGTTTTCTAAATAATGGCATACTGGGAAAAAAAAAACATAATCTCCCAGACATTTTAGATCCCATGTTTACTTATTTATATTTCGTTATTTGTCTTTTACTACTCTATTCTTTTTATATGTCCCTTATCTTTCTTGGTTTATGTTTCTTTTTTCAAAAGGGCTTAGTAAAAATAACTGTAAAAGAAAGCAGCTTTCCTAGAATAGAAATACTTTTAGTTTTTTAAATGCCACAGGGCAGGGGTCTCCAACCCCTGGTCCGTGGACCAGCATTGCAGCATGCAGAAACTGGTCTGAGAAAACATGTGAAGCCCCATCCGCGGGATGCAGGCAACAGGCGAAATCACGCCTTCCAGTCCATGGAAAAACTTCTCTCCATGCAACCAGTCCCTGGTGCCCAAAAGATTGAGGGTATCCTCTAATCCAAATTAATGGGAACAGCAGACTAAAAAAAACAACAATACTGATTTTAAGTCCTTTAAATATTTTAAGATGACAACTGAGGTCTCCCAAACACCAGGGCGGGGGAAGTGTGTGAAATATTTTTCCCAATATACACCAGTTCCTGCATACCCTCTGCACAAACTGAATCAAAGTTTTACCATAAATATAACTGATTATTACACGCCGTGACAATGCACACATTTACAGAGGTTTGCCCTTGAGATAAGCCAGTAACTGTCAAGGGGAAGAAAAAAAAATACTTCCTTTATTTTTCTTTCCGATGCTGCACACAAGACAGTCCCTTTTTCACGCATGAAAGAAGATTTCCATAGTGGCACACTTTCCGACTGCAGGTTATACAATTATGGGTATCACAAAAATAATACTAATCATAAAAAAGGTCAAAAAGAACTGAAAGAACCTTTTTTTAACCTGTCAAATACTATTTTCAAGTAATACGGCCAGTTTAAAGCTGAAATTCTATGCATTCTTATAGGACAGGAGTAGGCAACCTTGGCTCTTTTATGACTGGTGGACTTCAACTCCCAGAATTCCTGAGCCAGCCATGCTGAAGGGAAAGGGAGAGGTTTCCATGCTTAGCCATGCTGGCTCAGGAATTCTGGGAGTTGAAGTCTACGAGTCATAAAAGAGCCAAGGTTGCCTACCCCTGTTATAGGAGAAAGAGCTGAATAGAATAGAATGGGGGTGATTTCTGAATAAAGATGCATAGGATTTAGCAGCGCCACAAATAAAAGCGGCAAGTCTAAAAGGAAACATCTGCTCGTCTTTTTTAAAAGAATAGACTAGTGGGAGAGAGAAGCTTTTTAAATCATGAAGAAATCCAAACGTAAGTCTAGTTTCATCCCTTGTATAAAATCCCCATTGGTTTTAGCTCAGTCAAAAGGTTTCTCACAATGCAAACGAACGCTTTGTCGAGGGTGTCCGCGGAGACAGAAAAGGCGCGACGTCGTCGTTCTTAAGCCAAGCAGTTTGTTCTCAATGTGCCCACTCACCTGAATCGTTGCTCGCGACACATTCTCATAAGCTTACAACAATCACAATCCTTTCTTGGAACATTCTTAAATCTTTTGTTTTTTTTTTAAAAAAAATCTTGCGCTAAGATAATTATAGAGATGAGCTTGAGAACAAAAGGAGAGTGAAACAATGGACCTTGTTATAAGTGGAGCTTTGAAAAACCCTGGGGCCAAGTCGGTTTAATCCCAGTGCAACTGCAGATCTTGTGGATCCAGGAAATCTGTTGAAAACATGCTGGGAGCCGTCGAGCTGAGCGGCGTTAATCCCGAGGAAGCGGCTGGCATGGTGAGGTCTAACCACTCCATATTGTCTAAATTGGGATCTGGGAGGTCCAGAGATAAACACGAACTGGGAGTGAACTGTGACTCAGAAGTCTCCATTGGGGAGTGAGAGTGATCTAGTATACCAGTATGATTAAGGAGGTCATTCTGTAGATCCTCAATGACCGAGAAGGACTCCTTGTCCTCGTTACCGCTGGTCAGGTGAGGCATCCCGTTACCTGAGGGTAGAGTTCCTTCCAAAAGTGCTTCTAACTGATTCTCCAGAGACAAAGAGAAATTGCTGGTGGGTTCTAAGGAGAGAGGAGGGGCCATCTGGACTTGTGGGGGTGGGCGTGACACCACGGTGTTGACTGGCATGGTGCTGATGTTGGCGGTGACTGGCCTCATCTTGGAAATCAGAGCAGGTTCTTCCTTCATAGGCATAGAGATCTCTGCAGAAAAGACAGTGGCGGATAAAATCAGTAATTTTATTTTTATGCAGCCTTTATTGTTTTCATAAATATTTCAAGCTGGTGGACAAACTTAATGCTCCTTCCTCTTCTTATTTTGACCACAACAGGAAAGCCTGTGAGATGGGTTGGCCTGAAACAGACCCAGCCGGCTGTCATGCCTAAGGTGGGACTAGAACTCACATCGCCTGGGGATTGGCCCAACATCACCCAGCAAATTTTCATGTCTAAAGTGGAACTAGAATTCTCCTCTCCTGGTTTCCAGGCTGACGCCTTAACCACTAGACCAGGGGTCTTCAAACTTGGTCCTTTTATGACTTGTGGACTTTAACTCCCAGAAATCCTCAGCCAGTGTGCCTGGCTGAGGGATTCTGGGAGTTGCAGTCCACAAGTCATAAAAGGGCCAAGTTTGTAGACCCCTGTACTAGACCTATCCAGCTCTATATTTCACTGAATCCATAAAGTAAAAGCAAAACAGCTCACTTTAATGGATTGCTTTAACAAAATACGTAATTTTTTGGATGCCCTAAACTTCCATTATTCTTAAGCCTCTGAGTCAATCTTGACTTCTGTACTTTGATATAAATAACTTACCAACAGTACTGGTATACAAAAAGATTTTTGCAGGAACTACAGTCCTAAATGATTCCCCTGGGAAAAAGCTTGCCACAAAACATTATTATTGCCTTCTATCAAGGGAAATAATTTAGGACTATAATCCATGAATTGAACTGAAATTGTTATCTGTTTATTATTAAACAGATAACCATGTCAGCAAATCAATTATTTGAGTTTTTTTCCTCCCAAGACTTTTTTGTGACTACCCTTCCATTTGCCAATTATCAATAATTGTCTGATCTGAGACAGAAACTGTGACCAAGCCAAATTGAGATGGTTTCAAGATACCAAGACAAATAAAGAGATAATAAACCAATTTTCGGTGTTGAATAACAAACAACACAAATAATCTGGTACTGATACAATCCTAAAACAGAACGCTTGAGAGTTGGCCAAAGAAATCAGAGGTTTTGCCTTTTGGTTAGCATTACATCTGACTCAGGTTCCCCATTTCGCTGCTTTCCTCGCAAGGCTGAATCCCAAAGGACCAAATTCCTGGATTCAGATTCTGATGTCAGAAAACAAACCATCTAGGAATCCTGATTCAGATATTACATTAAACCGCGACTGGAGGTTTCACACTCTGTTTAATCACTTCTCCTGGCCAGAGCAACAAAAGTGAATCGCCATGTTTGACCTGATTCAGCCAAAATGGTCCACCTACAGATGTGCCAGCCACAGGATATTCTGAAAAACCTCTGGCCTTAAGCCTGCCTGTTACATTCAAAACATGATGGCTTGGCTAGATCCCTGGGAACCACTTCCAGTTCAAATGATTCACTTTCAGAAACTGCCAAAATGCCCCTGGAACACTATGGTTTGGGAGGAGGTTTGGCGTGGTCCAGAGGGAACAATGTTCTGTTCCTGGACTAATTTTGCAGTGCTATAAATTCTGTCCAATAACAGATACAAGTTGTTCTCCCATTGAAATAAAAGCAATGGATTCTATATCTTATTCTTTAGAACACTCATAACATGGTCCTCTAGTCTGGATGAAAGACACTCAAAAACCAAACCCTCAAACAGAGTCATATGCGTCTCACCTCCGCTCTTAATGAGGATATCAAAAAGATCGTCCATATGCTGGCTGTGGGCATTGGAAATCTGTCAACAAAGGAAAATTCTTGTTTATTTTACCATACCGTTTCCCAAAGTACAACGATGATTTGTATTCTATGATAGCTTAGAATCAACCTGCCTCCAGAAGCTGTGAATGCTCCAACACTGGAAGTTTTTAAGAAGAGACTGGACAGCCCTTTGTCTGAAATGGTACAGGGTTTCCTGCCTGAGCAGGGGGTTGGACTAGATGACCCCCAAGCTCCCTTCCTCCTCCTTCTCCTCCTCTTCCTCCTCCTCATTATCATTATTTTCATTATTATCATTTGCATTTAAGCTACAGGTATACAAAAAAATCCCACTAGCTCCTGAAGAATTAATAGTCTGATACGTATCTCTATTAATGCATTAGAAAGCCAGGGACATATTGCAGATTCGAGATTAATTGCTAAGAATTCATTCTGCTAAAACTAAAGTCCAAACACATACCTAATTAGAAATAGGCCCCGCTGAATTCAATTGGAGTAAACGTGAAATATGTTCGCAGAACACATTTCTGAGAAATATGTTTGCAAAACAGCCTTTCTGAGAAAAAAACAACAACAACAGTCTTCTATGGTACAAAGAGGTCTACTATGTAACAGATAGCAGAAATCAAAATAAAAGGACCTGGCAAGGAACATCCGTTCAAAGCATGTTCATTACAGCATTTACTATAACAGAAAAAAAGCAGCAAGCCAATTACAGTTAGTCAGGTAAGATGCTTTTCTGCCATGGATGTCCAGGTGCATTGACTTTTGTCCCAAATTTTCATATTGTTCTGTCTTGTGGAACAACTACAGGAAAGATCATACCACTGGATGACCATGGATCATCATATCATGGATGACCAGCTCCCATCCATGTCTGTTGCCAACAATATCTATTGACTGCCAGACTCTACCTTGCCAGTAAATTCATAGTGGCATCCTTAATATTAGTCAACCTGCATCCAAATAAGGAAAACCACCTTATCTGAAAGCTGCACTGATCTTTTAACGGAACAAAATAATTGAGAATAGTACTGAGTCTAATTGTATGGTGTACCACAGGACTCCTTTTTTGAACTGGCTTTTTATTTGCTCGGGCACCTTTATTTTCAGAATTAGTTATACAGTCGCTTGCAATTTTTAGTCTTCTGGCCAATAAAGCAAAAACATCAGAAAGGAGCAACGGAGAACAAAAATCAAAGAAAAACAACAGGGACAAAGCTTTAAAGTACTTTTGTGAAGAAATCGAAATAAATTCTCTTTTTCGCTGGCAAGCTCCATTGGGTAATGCCAACTAAAAAGCTTTGTGTGCCAACGCCCTTCCAGCTGGTGGTTTTTAGCAAAACTTGGCAGATTCTTCGCCCACGTTAAGGAGAGAGAAAGTACAATTTCTTCAGTACTGAACCTAACAGCAGCATCTGTCATGATCTGCCAAGCAGAATTTCTTGCTGAAGCAATCCAGTATCTGGCTTCCTTCCTCCCCTACTAGAAATCCCCCCCCCCGTTCTCTTTGATCCTTGACAGCCTTGTGAAAAAGCGGGTCGCTCAACTGGCTGCCTGAGACTGTTAAAAGTCATATTCCATCAGCTGTACCCGCGAGTAAGCAGGGATTTTATCTTGTCCCAGAGGCCCTGTCCTTAGACGACCTTGCTTTTCTTTCTTAACACATTTTTGGTCTCCCTTTACAAAGAAAACTCTCTTTGGGTTTGAAGCGTTAATTGAGCCAAACCCCAATTCCACGGTTTGGCATGGCTATCTTTGCCTGCCCTCTGAGGGAATGTTGACATGGCATAACATGGCAGACACTCCAGAAACCAATTCATTTTAAGATTTCAGAAAATTGCAATAATAATAATAATAACAACAATAGTAATAAAGTTGGAAGGGACCTTGGAGATCTTCTAGTCCAACCCCGTTTGAGCAGGAGACCCTATACCATTCCAGACAAGTGGCTGTCCCGTCTCTTCTTAAAGACTTCCAGTGTTGGAGCATTCACCATTTCTGGAGGCAGGTTGTTCCACTGGTTAATTGTTCTCAATGTCAGGAAGTTTCTCCTTAGTTCCAGGTTGCTTCTCTCCTGGATTAGTTTCCATCTGTTGCTTCTTGTCCTGACTTCAGGCACTTTGGAGAAGAGCTTGACTCCCTCTTCTTTGGGGCAGCCCCTGAGATATTGGAACTCTGCTATCATGTCCCCCTCGCCCTTCTCTTCATTAAACTAGACATACCCAATTCTAGCAACCGTTCCTTATATGTTTTAGCCTCCAGACCTCTAATCATCTTTGTTGCTCTTCTCTGTACTCTTTCTAGAGTCTCAACATCTTCACCTCTGTTTTTTTTTTTTTTTTAGGATTGAGCAGCAATGGGCTGCTCATCACATCTCTTTATTGGTTCCTTACTGAAGCTGGGTGCCCCAATAACACATATTAGAGTAAATGTTAACTGCTTATTCGACTTACTTCTCGCTGAGAAGACTGCAGGCTGCGAGTCTGTTTGATGGCTTCTTCGTAGCGTGGAGGGTCTTTTGTTTTGGTTCCTGAACTGTTGAACAAGGACTGGTGCAAAAGGTATTGTTGGGACTGAGCTGGGGAAGGTGGCTGTCAGAAACAACGGATTCAGTCAGCAGACAGATTTTAAATAATGTCTTTAAAGAGACCCGGCTCTCCTTGTTTATTTTATTTTATTAATTCACTCACTATGACAGTGATGGCAAACCTTTTAGAGACCGAGTGGCCAAATTGCAACCCAAAACCCACTTATTTATTGCAAAGTGCCAGGGCTGCATCAGCATTGTGGTTCCCTCAGGGGGCAGCAGGGGGGCATGGCCATTGGGTGGGTGTGGCTGCAGTGATCATGGCAGACTGGGTGGGCATGGCCATCTCGATGTTGCTCGTGGGGGGGACGCCTGTGGGGGCTGGGCAGGATTGGGAGAGATCCAGGGGGTCTTGTGGGTGGGGCGGTGGGCAGGAGGCTTTTCCTGCAGTGTGTGGTGGGGGTGCTACTGCTGCAGGGCAAGGCAAGGCGAGGCAGGGGCGGCTGCTGCCTGATACCATCGGCCCCCACACACAGAGGCCAGCGAGTGCACCTCTACTCGAGCTTGCTAGCCGGCCGCTTTGCCTCCTTTGTGCTGGGCGGGGCTGTTGCTCCGGGCGCCGGTGGCAGCCTAATGGACCTGTGTGAGATGCTGGTGTCAGTGGCAGGCGTGCTCACAGAAAGGGCTCTGAGTGCCGCCTCTGGCACACGTGCCATAAGTTCGCCATCACTGCACTATGACATGTGGCATATTGATCCCGCTTTGTCCTTAAAAGCCATCTCAAATCAAGGTGTTGATATTCTGTACCGCCCTTAGAGAGGGCTGTAAAGCACCATGAGGCGGTATATAAGTCTAAGTGCTATTGCTATTACCGTGATGGTGATAGGGGATATGTGCCTGTGTCTAAAAAAGAATGTTCTAGGTATGTAAAATGCCTGTATGTGCAAGAGCGTTCATGCTTGTGACAAATGCCTACCCCTTGCACATGGTCCCTACAATGTAAGAACGAGATACATCCCAGGGCTTAAGTGATTATGTAGCCTGCTATGAATTTACCTTTTTAATAAATAAATAAATAAATCTCATTCTCTTCCACCATGTCCTTGAGATTAAGAGCCCTTATGCAAAGATAGTGTTAATTATTGTTCTGCTCCCCCACAGTGCAAAGAGGCATCCCATGGATCACCCTAACTTCCAGGCAGTGCTCTTTCGGCAGGACAGGTCTCTACAATGGAGAATAAGTTCTACCTTCTGAAGAGGATTCGGTCCATTTTGCACTAAGGATGCTTGGTTCCCTGAGTGAGACGTCGTGTTTGAGGCTTGCTTAAACAAAGGTTGCTGCAGGTTGGGAGCCGACGGATTCTGATAGGAAAACACTGTGTTAGGTGAGGTAGGGGGAAATACCTGTAAAAAAACCAAAAACATGATGGAGAAACCTCTCTGTAAAAAATGTTAAACTAAAAAAGGCAGGGTGGATAGCAAAACACTAAAAAGGACCCCTAATATTTATTAGCACGATAATAAAACTTAAACTGAGCCCAATCGGTCCAGAAAAGAATCCGAATACTTTCCTTAAGAAGGTTATTTTAGTTAGCCCTTGTATTGTTTCCAAACAACATGACTCTCCCTGGGTGTGAGGTGTGAAGATGTCGAACGGCCAAAAACTTGCAGAGGAAAATTCCTACTGTCTTTGCACCCAAAACATAAAAACACATGTGCTTGTCCGTGCAAAGTAAATCAAGCATTTTATTTTTCAAACAGGGGACAAAGATTCTGGCTAAATTTGAACATCACAACAGGACGACGCATGATTAAATAAAGGAGCCGTGGTGGCGCAGTGATTAGAATGCTGTACTGCAGGCTAACTCACTGCCCACCGCCAGGAGTTCGATCCTGACCCGGCTCAAAGTTGACTCAGCCTTCCATCCTTCTGAGGTTGATAAAAAGAGGACCCAGATTGTTGGGGGCAATAAGCTGACTCTGTAAACCGCTGAGAGAGGGCTGTAAAGCATTGTGAAGCGGTATATAAGTATAAGGGCTATTGCTATAGTTAAATCTGCATGTTATTCCATCCTGGATCTTATTTTATTGAAGAGTGACTGTATGAGCCCGTACAAGTAATAGAATACAGAACTTTAGGTACAGGACATAATCCCTTTGTACATAAACCTTCACCAACCTTTCTGTTCTCTGAGGTTTGGCCAGCTGCATGCTGTGGGGAAACATTTTGCTTGGGGGCTGACATGTGCATCTGTGGCACTTTGGGGGCCAAACCAGAAGTAGAGACTTGTGCGATGGCTGGAATACCAGCTTGTGTTTGAACCTAGAGGATAAAAAAAAGTACGTCTTCAATTTGCCGGATACAGAAGATAATTGCATTAACATCAAGGCAGCCAAGATGGCATTATTTTTCACTCTGCAGACCTCAAATCTATTTTAAAATGAAAAAAAAAAACCCACTATGCAGGACTTCTATCAAATTTAAGCCCCTCTGAAATTTTTGCGCAAAACTATATGGAATAAAATGGTTATGTATCAACTACCATATACTACAATCTAGTGAACTGGACACATGGGGATGCCATAATAACCTTTTCTGCAGCTAAATTCAAAGAGAAATTTTATCACATGGAAAATGTGCGTGTCTGCCTGTATGCACATGCATTGCCTTACGATGATAAGACCCTTTTTTGGGATAATAGAAAAAGTATAGTCAAAACCAGGCACCTGTTTAATATATTAATTGGATAAGAACCTTTTTTAGCTCAAAGTGTGCATCTGGATTTTTGCTCACTAATTTTGCCTTAGAAAACAGAGGTGGTATAAACCCCCAATCCCATTTAGATTGCCTATTAGATTCCCTATTACTATTTCAGCCCCAATTCTATAGCACTTCATTGGAAAAGGTAGAAGGATTGAGTTTATGGTGTTGTCAGTTTTCCACTCATGACAAGAACTTGTAATTTCTTTGAAAATGAAGGAACACAAAGCACCCTCAATTGCATCAATTTATCAGTCAAAATCCTTGTAATTGTTAGGCAATACTGGAGATGATTTGAAGGGCAATCAGGCTTACAGGGAGTTGTTTAACTTTTACCGTAATTCCCCGAGACAGCATGTTACACCAAACAATCGTGCACGTTTCTGCCAAGGGATATTAAACCACGATTCATTTGCCTCCAGAACTAGAATCTGTTTTTTCCACAAAATACAACAGGAAGCTTCCAGGTTCCTCCACATAACTTGGGGAGGAACAGCTGCTAGCGTATCTCAAATGGCATTCCCGAATTTCTCCTTGACTAGTAGCGGCCAGCAGATTAAGGTAACCCCAAATGTACCTGGATGTTGCTTGCAGGCAGCTGCACTGAAGTGGCTGAATTTGGACCCTGCAGAGAGAGTGGCAGTAACAGCTGGGCAGTTCCTGGGGCAGCCAGAAGCGCTTGGGGATGGGCCACGACCGCCGTTTGTGGCTGTCTCTGTGAACTCACAAAGAACTGAGAGATGACCTTTTGTGGCTCAGCTTTGGCTAAAGGTATCTCTTGCTTGATAACCAGGGCCTTTTTAGCAACTAGATTTTGGAGAACGGCTGGCCTGGGCTGCCCTAAAACATGGCTGGTATCAGAGAGCAACTGCCTTGCCTTAGCGCTGTCTGCCAGGGTGCCTTCTTCTTTAACAGAGGGGTTGTTCTGCTGCCGGTTCAAAGGCATCGGCGTTTGAGCAGAAGCCTGAGGAGGAGGAGGATGACTCCGCTTCTCGACCTCCAGTTGCATTTTCAACACTTCCACTAACTTCTGTTCTTGTTCCAGTTTTCTTTTCAGCTCTTCGATCTGCTTCTCTTTCTCTTGAAGCTTGCGGTCCTTCTCAGTGGTGTCCAAGTCCATGCCGGACGTATTTCCGGGGTCTTCGTTCGCGGCGGCTCGAAGAGGGGAAGCGCTTGGGAACTGCGACGGAGACATCATGGTTATGATTTCCGTCAAAGTGTCGGCCATGTTAGCATCGTCCGTTCTGAGACTGGACTGTTCCGAAGGAGAGGGCGAGATGGGCAAAGGGGAGCCCACGTGTTCCGGGGGTCCCATTTTGTTGCCAGTCGCAACAGGTGTCGTTTCCGAAGAGGAACTGGGAGCAGAATTCATGGCCTGCTTATTTAATGGCGCGGCGGGGAATGGAGTAGTGACTTCTCCAGGTTTACTGGTTCCGTTACTGGAAGCAGTTGCTGCCACTGTGTTACTTGTGCCAACAGAATTATTGTTAAGATCCTGATAGGGTTTCAGGCGCTCAATGAGATCTATTTTAGTTCCAGACACAGGCAATCCTCTAAGCTTTAATTCCATTTTCAGTTCAGCTACCTGAAATGGGGGAGGGGGGAGGGAAGAGGAGAGGGTGATTTTTTTTAACAGAAATGAAGTCACTAGGATGAAGCAATCCAATGAAGAAATGACCACCACTGGAGGCAACACCACCCGCAATGGATCGTTTACTTAAATCCTGCAGAATAAAACCGAAAAGTCTAACGCAGTGGTTCTCAACCTTTTTAATGCTGTGACCCCCCAACCGGTCGTTAAGTCGAGGACTACTCAACTGGTGCAGCACCGTTTGCAGAATTTTGGCAGGCTCAGCAGGGCAGAGACAGCCTGGACAATTCCTATTGGCTTTTGAAAGCCAATAGAATTAGACTCTATTCAAGAGAGTCTCTTCTATTGGCTTTCAAAAGCCAATAGAATAAAAGGGAATAGCACAGCTAAGGAAAAGGGGGGGAAAAATGGCGGACTGCGTTGTTTGGCGACCCCCCGTGAAATGGTCGTTCGACCCCAAATGGGGTCCCGACCCACAGGTTGAGAACCGCTGGTCTAACGTGCCCTGAATAATGGGCATGAAATATTAAAATGACTAGAAGCAATGGAGCCGTGTGGATCCCGCCTAAAGAAGATGTTCGAACTCAGGGCTTTTTTGAAAATTCCCTGTATCTATACCTGTACATCTCTACTTCTGTATACATCTACCTCTCTGCTGATGGACAAGCTGTACAGTAAGAATGCCAACAGAGCTCTGACGTCTGGGCTGGATAATATTTAATTTTCATTCCCTTTTGAAAGAATGCATTTTTAGAGCAGCTTCAATTCTGCATGTATTTGAAAGCCAAGAAGAAAAACAGGTTATTTTGGTTTAATAGTTCCAAAGTCTTACTGAGTGAGGTTCCTGAAACCAAGAAACCATCTCAATCCAAACAGTGAAAAATATTACTATTTATAGGTATAATCTCCGGAGGTGAGAGAAGAGGCAGCTATACAGACAGCAGCATTAATTTGTGTAGTTGCCAAAAGACTTCTGTAATATCCCTACGGACAGTCCTTGCAGTTTGGTTATTTACAATGTTAACTGAACGCGTTCCGAAGTTACAGGATTTCAGCTATAGTTTAAAAAGGGAGTGAGACTCAAAAGATGGCAATCTTTTTATACTTGAACCCTTTTGTAGAAGCTTATAGTCCATCAGCTTCACTTCTCCCTGTCATAATTAATACGAGCAGATCCCCCCTAAAATGAACAATGGATTTGTAGTAAAGCCCACACGAATAAGACTCATTATTTCTTTAGGGTTAGGGTTGGGCTAGAAATAAACATACCATTTACTTTTAACAATTAAATTTTAATCGGTTGATGGCGGGGGTCCCCCACTTTGTGGTCCTGCAGCCAGACACGAGGCTGCAGCAGGCAAAACAAGACACAAAGGCGGGAATGAATTCTGGCAAGGCTCACTCAGCCTGGGCATGCCTGATCAGGTTAAAAAAAATAAAAAATGGGACACCCGGGAAGTGCTCATGATTCCAAAACAAGCCCTGATCCACAGTTTAAGAATCTCTGCCCCAGGAGTTTATTCCACGCTAAAAAGGCTACAGAAAATATTTCTGTTTATAGCAGAATAGGTCAATACCAAAAAGAGCGGGTCTAATTGCATCTGAGGGATTAACCCTCTATCCTTTTTAAAACGTTAACGGCTAACAGCTGCAATTTCGTTTTCCCAGCTGTATGAAGCAGAACTATTAATAGGCAAGTACTTGAAGGCAGAATGCTAAAATTATCCCCTCTTGCCTGCCTTTCTAAATCACTGGGTTAAACATCCTTTGTGTCCTGCTATCCGATCCCGTTTATCCACTTAATCACCACTACAGACAAGATAAGCTGAAAGATCATGGCCAGCTCTCTGCAGTCCGTATCTAGGGAACGATCTCCTCTGCCATTCTAACCCTAGTTCATAGCTGTTATTTGCAGAATTTGTTGTCATCTACCTCCCCTGCATTGTGCATAATTTTATTAACGTCTCTTATGTTGTTATTATTGCTTTTAAAGTAGCAATATATTTCTCTCCCCATTCCCCTCCGCTCCAAAAAATCAGGTAGTTGCCTGTGTCCTTAGAGTAGTTAAGTGCTCTTTTCAGCATATTTTTCAACTCGGCACCAACATGTCTGAGTTTAGCCTTATAACGTAGACCAGACTAAGAATCAGACACCATGTAGACCTAAAGCTACTTCCATCAGACTAGCTATGGTAACAGAATCTTGCAATCTTGAATGAGATTCCCTCTATCTCCCTCCTTTAACTAATTGTGAAATGGGGAGGAAGGACTGTCTGAGGTGTTTGTGAACTTCCTTGACCTGGACTTAAGCTTCCTTTCTTTTATTTCATTGACATAGTAAGTGATCTTCCCTCTGTCCTTCAAGGCCCTCAGGGTTTCTCAAGCTTGGCAAGAAATTCTGGCAGCTGAAGCCCACAATCTTCAAGTTGCCAAGTTGGAGAGACAATGCTGTGGTTATCCTCTACCGAAGGGAAGCAAATTAGCACAACTTGTTTAATCTAATTTCTACGTATTCATGGACTTCTCATTGCATTCTTCTTGGGCAAACACCCTGCTTGTGATAGAACAGTGGTTCTCAACCTTTTTAATGCCGCGACCCCCAACCGGTCGTAAGTCTAGGACTACTCAACCGGTCGTAAGTCGAGGACTACTCAACTGGTGCAGCACCGTTTGCAGAATGGGACTTTTGGCGGGCTCAGCAGGGCGGAGACAGCCTGGACAATTCCTATTGGCTTTTGAAAGCCAATAGAATTAGACTCTATTCAAGAGAGTCTATTCTATTGGCTTTCAAAAGCCAATAGAATAAAAGGGAGTAGCACAGCTAAGGAAAAGGGGGAAAAAATGGCGGACTGCGTTGTTTGGCGACCCCCGTGAAATGGTCGTTCGACCCCAAATGGGGTCCTGACCCACAGGTTGAGAACCACTGTGATAGAAGAAGACAGCAAGATTGTGATTGGGTGTCATGCAAAAAAAGAGAAAAAAACTCACACAGCCCCACCCACATGCGATATGGACCGGCCTCCTCGGCTGTTCTTCGTATCTGAAATTCCCCATCGTTTTCCACTGAAATCTGGCATGCAGAAATGTATGGAGACACTCTAGATCAGGGCCCTCCAACCTTGGCAACTTTAAGACTTGTGGACTTCAAAGCTGGCTGAGGAATTCTGGGAGTTGAAGTCCACAAGTCTTAAAGTTGCCAAGGTTGGAGAGCCCTGCTCTAGATCTAAAGCTACATTTTTTTGTAAACTGAAAACAATACTACATTTTGACCATTTTCCATGTGGGTGAGTTGGCATCTGCCAGAGGGATAAACTGGGGAAAAATGAAATGATTCAAAAGTCAGGTGAGTTAGAAGTCATTCTGGGGTCACAAGGAACACCTTTTTCTGGACCCTTGGAAGACGCTTCACACTACACTGGTTGATTTTATTATTTTACCTTCAAATCATCCAAGCTGGGAGGAAGTGGTCCTGGCTTTCTGTTTAAAATATTAGTGTTCTGTCTTAGTGTGCTGACCGCTACTGGAGATGTGCTGTTGTTCAAAGTAGTCAGTGGTACATTCCCAGTGTTACCCTGTTTGTCATTTACTGGCCTTCAAAGGAAAAAGAGGAAGAAGAAGAAGAAGATCAACCTTCAAAACCATCTTTTCCATCTATTTCGTTCAACACGTCCTGCCATTTTTTCCCCCCCTTTAGCCACCAAACATTCTATCTATTAGGAGTGGGCCAGAATAGAGAAATGCCATTTGAAAGCTTCAAAATAATCTTGTTTATTAGCTTCGAAGATTATTTTATTCTGTTAACGTGACTCCCTAGACTAAACTGCAGTGTGGAGACAGATAGACCACATTCATCACACAAAAAGACATACAAGGAATGAATGGCCTGGCCTTTCCCGGAAAATTAAAAATTAAAATAGGGGAAAGAATTTCTCTATTCCAGCCCACTTTTCATCAATAATGGAACAGATCTACTTCTCTTATTGATCAAGCTGTTCAGGAGGGATTTTACCATCCTGCAGAGCAGGTTCTAAACATGTACAATCCATGCTTATCCTGTGTAGCCGCTGTATAGAGCAGGGGTCCCCAACCCCCCAGTCCGTGGACCAGTACCGGGCCGTGGCATGTCAGCAACTGGGTCGCATAAACATGCAAAGCCCCATCTGCAGGATGCAGGCAGCACACAAAACCAGGCACCCTCCAGTCCATGGAAAAAACATTCTCCATGGACCGGTCTCTGGTGCCTAAAAGGTTGGAGACCTCTGGTATAGAGCTTATACCAAAATACAATATAGGAAAGCTATATGATCAGTATCTGCATTAGGTACTCTTTGGACCAAGTTAGATGCAGTATCGTTTGCATGAACGCAATTTATTTACTTTTTAAAAAACAACAACAACAACCTGTTGTCCACTTAGTTTTGGGGAAGTATGATTGTCTCCTGGCCATGGGGAGGAGAACTTAACCTCTTGCCTAATCCTTTCCTTGCCAATGTCCTGCCAAACCTTCCTCCCATTGGCGAAGAGGAGAAATGGAAAGAACAGCTTGGATCCCAAAGTGCAAATTTAGCCAAAGTGCAAATAGCCCTGAGGAAGAGGCTGGTTGACACCAGTGGAGGAGGACTGCTGACAGAGTGGAGGAAAGGGACTCTTCACACTCACTGGAGAGATGAGGAAATCGAACAAACGCAGAACCGTCCAAGATTCACCTACTTGAGTGGTGCAGGGAGAATTGTCTGGTAATTGTAATGTTGCTGCTGTTGGCTCAGGATTTGCAGTTGCAAAAACAGTTGCTGCTGCTGCAGCAAACGAGCATAGTTGGTGTCCATCGGGGGCTCGTTTTTCTCTCCTTTCTGGTCGGGGGGAATATACTGATGATACTTCAGTTTCTTCACTCTGGGCTTCGGTTCTTTGCTTTTCTTGCTCCGAGGTCTGTCACTGGAGTTCTTGGGGTGAAGTTGCTATTTTCAGAAAGAGAATAATAAAAAGCGACGCTTTGATCCAGAGCTGAAGCTCAATCCAAAACTGCCGTTCTGTGTTACAGTAGAGATTTTGTTTGTTTGTTTGTTTGTTCCTTTGTCCGTAAAGACCAGGGGCTTCCAAACTTGGCAACTTTAAGATTCGTGGACTGACTGGGGAATTCAGGGAATGGAAGTCCACGAGTCTTAAAAGTTGCCACGTTTGAAGACCTCTGCCTTACATTCCTTTCTCCAGGAAGTCAAGAGGCAAGTGACCTTGCCCTCCAATTTCATCCCAACAGCTACAAGAATGTGAGGAAGATAAATGATTGGCCCAAAGTTCCAAATGGAGGGAAACTAACCAAAGAGAGAAGCAACCTAGAACTAAGGAGAAATTAGTTAGAACAGTTAATCTGCCTCCAGAAGCTGTGAATGCTCCAACACTGGAAGTTTTTAAGAAGAGACTGGACAGCCCTTTGTCTGAAATGGTATAGGGTATCCTGCCTGAGCAGGGGGTTGGACTAGATGACCTCCAAGGTCCCTTCCAACTTTAATATTATCATTATAAAGTCACCGAGTGAGTGTTCATGGCTGTGCATGGATTTGACCAATACAGGTAGTCCTTGACTTACAACCAAAATGGAAGATCTGAAATTCTGTTGCTAAGAAAGCTAAGTGGGCTATGCCCAATTTTTACAACCTTTTTTTTGCCACGGTCGTTAAGCAAATTGCAGCGGTTGTTAAGTGAATCATGCAGTCGTTAAGCATATCCGGCTTCTCCCCTTGACTTTGCTCATTGGAAGCCAGCTGGAAAGATTGAAAATCACATGTTGCTAGGATGTGGCAACCATTGTAAATACACGTTGACTGCCAGATGCCCGAATTCTGATCACATGACGATGGGGATGCTGCAATGGTTATAAGTGTGAGGACCAACTGACTAAGTTACTTTTTTCAGTTCCGTTGTAACTTTGAATGGTTGCTAAATGGATGGTTGTAAGTTGAGGGCTATCTGTATACGTACCATTATACTGCACTGGTTCTTGATTTGGAAAAGAGGGATATTTATAGATTCAACAGTAAGAATTCCAGACTGAATTCAGTTATCTATCTATAATCGAGAAGATGATTATCTTTGGAGCTGATTCTTTTCACTTTAGTAGCTGCTTTTAACCATTTCACTTAACTATCTCTCCAAAGCAGACCAAACTCAACAGGAAAATACTGCTCTGCATTCTGTCTTGCTAATTATTGAGACTGAAACGTTAGTACTTTAATAATGTAGGTTGTCAGAATTGTAGCTTCGCCTCACCAGTCAGAAATTATTATCCTAAAATTTAGGTCAGTGTCTCTTAAATTGTGATTTAAGTGTTAAAAGCTTAGCTCCAGGCTAAGGACTCTAGCAAAAGTCGGCATAACTTAAAGGTGATGTCAACCTTTTGTCTACTCGATTCAGTGAGATATCTTATAAAAACAATTTTATAGAAACTGGCAGATGTAGCTCCTTTCCTGCAGTCATCTGCAAAACCACTAATCCAGCTGGCGACATTCTGAAAAATGCAATTACTATATTTACAATATCAATACCCGAGGTAAAAAATATTTATTTTAGGAAAATGATTAATAGTTACTGCAGTGCTGGATGGCGATGAAGATTTCATGCTTGCTTGCCAATGCATACATGTGGGTTTTCCCCCCTAAAGTTTTAAAAAGCTCTTGCCCAACTAATTATATATCTTATTATTCCTGTTTAAAATGTTCATTTTTTTTGTTGAGGAAAGTGGTATAATTAAACCAACACCCACTGTTTTTGTTCTGCCCTACCTTTATTAGTGTTGGCCCACTGCAGGGTTTTGTGGCAGTCACAGAATTTGTGGTAAGAGGAGCAGCAGTTGTGCGTGTGACATGCTGATCTGTGACAGGTGGCTTCAAAAAGTCAGGTCCTGGTAATGCTATGGGGGGATACTGAGAAGAAAACAAAATGAGAAGCAGCTATTTAAACATTTTCCGGCCTTCAGTAAGTGTCAGCTTTTCACAGCGACATCATGGTATTTCATTATAGCTATATTCCCCTAAAAGCTGTCTAATGAAATTCAGGAAAACTGTCATTGTTCAATGATCAATCCAAATATATTTATGAATTAATTTTGCTTTGTGCAGTAAGCTTTTCTTTTCCTTAAAATAAATTTGGGAACATCTGTATGCCTTACCTGTATATGCCTTTTGATTCTGAAAACTGCATGAAAGTTTAATCATATTTTGGAAGGAGAAAATGCTTATTTATTATATATCAACTGTATGAAAGCTAGTTTCTTCTCTTTCCTAGCTAGCTGATAAATATCAATAGCGCTTAGAGTTATAGACCGCTTCACAATGCTTTACAGCCCTTCTCTAAGCAGTTTATGGAGTCAGCATATTGCCCCCAACAATCTGGGTCCCCATTTTACTGACTTCAGACAGATGGAAGGCTGAATAACCCTTAAGCCAGTGAAAATCGAACTGCCAAACGAACTGCTGGCAGTTGGCAGTCAGCAGAAGTAGCCTGTAGTACTGCATTCTAACTATTGTACAACCATGGCTCTTAATATTAAAGAACTATTAAATATAAAGGCAGCTATCGTGCCAGAATAACCTTTCCGTTTACAGCCAACAACTCTGCACTGCTTCCTATGCAACACGTCACATCACACTTTTGCGTGAATGGAGCTCCCTGGGTGCACACATGCACCAGCCCACCACTCATGCAGCCTGGTCTCTTCTCCCCTCCCCCCAGCCGAGCTGCCAAGCCACAAAGGTTGGGGACCGCTGTGCTAATTGTAAGGACAGAGAAATGATGATTGAGAAGGTATTTTACTCTCAATACTAAAGACGTTATTATAAAATGGGTAGAAAAAATTCAGGCATAGGAAACAGCCTATTTCAACAAATTGGCATAATGAAGTATTGAATGCTGTTCCCACATAGGTTGGAAGGCTAATTATGCTCAACCATAAACAAGCCATCTTTCTGATTTGATTAGCTCTTTCTTTATTTGTGACAAAAGTGTCCAACTGGACCTCTGACTTTTCTCTGGAGGGGGATATGAGGATATAAAAATGGGTAATATTTGAATCCGAAGCTAGAAAGACACAGCTATTAGTGCAGACATGTCAAACACAAGGCCCGGGGGCCGGATGCGGCCCGCAAAGTGGTTTCATGTGGCCCACGAAGCCATTCTGGAAACAGTGAGGGGACGGCCCCCGCTGCCTTGGCCCTGGCCCAGGCCGGTCAGGAGCCAATGTACAATTTTGTGGTGGCCATCTATGCTGAAACACATTCAGTCCTAGCTCCACAAGACTGTCTGGAAACAGCAAGGGACCGGCCCCTGCCGTGTCGGCCCCGCCCCCTGGATGCATGCTGGGGAGGTGTCACCCTTTCTGAGGAATGAAGAAATGGACCATGCCTTGGCGCTTGCCCCGGTCCCACCCCCTTCTGCCAGAGACCCACAGATCTGTCCCACTCCTGCCCAGGCCCCCACAGGCCCCCCTGATGCGAACAATGTAGACTGGCCACATCCACCCAGTAGGCCGCACCCACCCTGGCCACACACACACCACCCTCCCCCCGAGGGCAACCGCAGTGCTGATGCAGCCCTCAATGAAATTGAGTTTGACACCCCTGTATTAGCGGGAGAGAAACTGCTTGGTTCATATCAGAAGACAGCAACATTTCAAATGGCTGGCAGCGTACCTGTGTGGCGGAAGAAGCTGGGGTGACTGGCGAGGGTACTTCTTTCGCTTTGGGCTCTCCGGGGGAAGCGGTTGACCCTTGGGACTCCTGACTACCAGGCTGATCGGGAGATAAAGCATCACTGCTATCTTCGTCAAACGAGAAATCATCCACAGCTTGAGGATAGTTCTCCTGACCAACCGCTAAGAAAAGACAAGGATTCTTCTTTTAGTTAAGTCATTACAGAGAGAGGAGACACGGGCGAATACGGGTGGTCCTCAGCTTACAAGCACAATCGTGACCAGGATTTTTGTTGCTAAGCAAGGCGGTTGCTAAATGAGTCAAGCCCGTTTTTGCAAACTTCCTCGCCAGGGTTAAGTGAATCACAATTACTCACGAATCCGGCTTCTCTCATCGACTCTGCTTGTCAGAAGCTAACTGGGGGAGTGCAAATAGCAATCGCGTTGACCCCAAGGATGCTGCAGCCATCATAAATACTTGCCAAGGGCCTGAATTTTGATCATGGCACCATGGGGACGCTGTGAAGATTGGTCATTGGTCACTTTTTTCCAGTGCCATTGTCACTCTGAGTGGTTACTAAATAAGTGGTTGTAAGCAGAGAACGTATTGTACAGTGATTATTGTACAACTGGAAGTATAGGCTTGTGTTCCCAATTGCTTTTATTCTAATCCATAGATCTTCACATATAGATTGTTTCTGATTTTTCTTTTTGTTATCTCTTTTTAGAAAAAGACAATGGCTTTATCAAGCCAAGGTGATGGAGTAGAATAGATGATTCTTTTACAGGGGAAAACCATCCAGATGGTACGTGTTCACTCACTGCCTACGATTTAGAATCGTAGAATCACTTCCACCAGTGCACTAGAAAAGCTGAACAATATTCTTCCATACAATTCCAAAATGAATACTTTGTTGAAATACAAAAAAAAAAAAATTATGTTAGACAGACACACGCAGAGACATACACACACATTTGCGTATTCTTTTTTCCTTTTCCATTCGTCTATTTTTATTTATGTTTCCAGTCTTAATAGACTGCTCTCTTGAGTGACACACCAAGAATGCTCTCTAGAGGAAGTGTCACAATAACACAAAGGCCCATTTATGATGGGTATTGCAACACTTCAGGCTTCAGATTTTCACGATCTATGATTTCTGGCAACAATAGACCTGGCGGTCCTACTTGCCTATAATGGCTTCTTTGACGCTGGAGTCTACAGGGAGAATATTCTTCTCCACCAGTTCCATAGGGCCCGGCCTCTGAGCGATCTTCTCGTTTAAGTCATCTGCAAGTCGCGCCCTCTTTAACTTCATCTGAGTAGCCTGGAGAGAGGGTTCTGCAAACGTTTCTGGGGGAAAAGGACTACAACGGTTAAAAAACTCTGAAATGCTACATAAATTCTACCTTCAATGTTTAGTGCATGTTTATCTAAAGTTGTAATGGAGATAGTAAAGCAGATAGTGTAGAACTAGAAAAAGAGAATAAGAGAACACTCCAGAGCTTCCCTATTACAGCAGACAGAACAAATCTGAAGTGAGACACTTTCTATGTAAAAATCACAGCTCCAATGAACTACGTTTTAATCCTACTTAGTTAAACTTGTAACATTTTGCATCCCAGATGAAGGCAAGAAATTGTTTTAAATCTGGGTTTTAAATCCAGTTCTCACTTGCTGAGCTTGGTTCTGACAATAAGGTGAACTATAACCTTCAGCTTATAACCTGTAATAATTAAATTCACACGCACAACATATTAAACCAAAGTCCAACAAACCATATTGTGCTTGGATATACCCACTGCCGTTTAGTTGGTGTAGAACAGGGGTCCTCAAACATGGCCCTTTTATGACTTGTGGACTTCCACTCCCAGAATTCCTCAGCCAGGCATGCGTGCCTGGCTGAGGAATTCTGGGAGTTGAAGTCCACAAGTCATAAAAGGGCCAAGTTTGAAGACCCCTGGTGTAGAAAGTCACACTTTTTAAAACCTGTTGTTGGGGTTGGTAATGTGGGAAAACATATGGTAAAAAGGCAGCCTTGCGTTTTTTGCTGAGAAGTTTCATTTATCTATTCAGAAATTTAATCAGGAAATAGGAAATCAAAGGGGATTTCTCACCTTCAAGAATATGCATCCTGACTAATTCTGATCGATCAGGCCTACTGCGTATTTTATGTTTCAGAAAGTTTTCAGTCTGGAAGAAAACAGATAAAAATATTCACACTACATTTAACTGGTAATAAGCACAAAATAGTCCCCGTTTTGCTGACATTGATGGAAACCGCAAAGCACTGTCTGACAGCAATTTCATTATCTGACAATGCTTTGCAAGATGTTGCCCGATATAACAAAACTATGTTTACTATTTATTTATTTTAAATCATCCAAAAATTCAGGTTCTTGATCATCCATTCCGCAAGGTGTAAAATGAAAACTGAACCACTTCAAATTTTATATTCCAAATTTCGCTGCATTCAAGAACAAGAAACTTATTCTTACAGATCACGTGCTTCTACTTTTCAAAGCAATAACACAATCAGAATTCTATCTTTATACAGAAGTAGAATGCTAATTAGTCTATAATCTGAAATTCTTACCAAATCTGCCACAGATGCAACCACAGGGATATTATTGAACAGACTTTGAATTTTAAAACAGTTGTCATTTTTCCTTATAATGTAGTTTATTTTTCTGAGCATTTATATTGAGTACTTTAAGCTGTATTAATGTATCTATCAGAGGAAATGTGAGTTGTTTTTTCACTTAACCTGCATTACTTGTTCACAAAAGCTTACAATATATTACAAGTATCAAAACACAGTCTAAAACATTATGAACATTAAAAAATGTCCATATACCTATGGGTGTTTTTAAATTTGTTTTTAATAATAAATCACCAAGCTATTTCCCTATTTCTCTTGGTTTCTAAGCAAATGTAATAAAACAAAGAGATTGCCCTTCAAGAAAAAAGTGAAGACAATTGTGTAGCACTTTTGTATCCTCATCAATTAAGTTTTGAAAATTCAGATGATAATTTAAACTTATACTTTGACTTCTCAAGTTTAGAACTATGAGAGAAGATGGCCTGGTTTTAACTATTTAACAAATAATTTCAATTCTTTATCTTTAGTTGAAGAAATAGATAATTACTATAACGGCCTTTGCCAAAAAGAATTCTGAGAGTTAATAATTAAATATATCATGAATAATTATTGGCTTCCAAATGCAATACTTCAACGGCCAGGTATGAAGCACACCTTACTAGAGAGTATATATTGTCTCATCGCAAGGATTAGTTTAACTAATTTTGAAAGTGTTTGTAGGAATATGTGGTTATTCAAGCTGTTGCTGATGTTTGAATGGTTTGAATCAGTTCTCCCTCAATTTCATTACAGAAAGAACTCAAGTTTCTTTTCCAAAAATCTGTAACAATTTCTCCTCATTTCCAAAAGCTCTTTGTATAACACTTTCCCCCAAGACAAGCATATGCAAAGAATGAAATATCATGTTCCGACTTGATTTCTCACCCTGGCTCTTTCCAAACTCTTTATTTGCTCATGAAACACAGCTGGGCTCTTCAAAGCTAAAAGAAGGAAATGAAAAAGAGTCATGAAGCCAGGAGATCATGAAGGCATATATGAATTATCTTACATTCAAGTAGGTTTGTTTCAGCTAGCTTAGTAGGATGCTAACTGACCTGTACAGAAAGATTGGCTGACAGTAGCTGTAATAAAATCGCCCTAGCTGCATTGTGCTGGATTCCAAACACTTTAATTAACTTCATAAATATGGAGTATTAGCTAAAAGATGAGCAGAAAATGGCCTTTTCACACTACTCTTAATATGTAGACCAATTATGTAACAGCTATAATAATAGTAGTAATAGTAAAAATATCTGTCTTGCATCAGGAGCCTGGTGTCAAATGAACAGGGATAATTAACACCGGCATAGTTTCTTCATTCTCTCTTTTCATATTCTGTACTCTGCTTACTAAGTATTTTTAAAAAATAGTATTGCATTTCCTGTATGCTTTAGGTTGGAAACAAAAACAAAAAACAAAAACACCCCAGCAATACAGTTACACCATATAAACAAATAGCACAACAGATAATGACGGGATCCTAAGGCCATTGTGAGTAATTTCCACGCAACCTGGCAGAATGGCAAGTAGGCCCAATAATAACGAACAAAGTTCTGCTATTTCCTAGAGTTTTCAAGCCAGACCAAGATAAACAATCCCAGTAATATTTTTTTTCCTCGTTAGGTGGTCACTGAAGGCCCTAAAGCAAGGGTGTCCAACCTTGGCAACGTTTAAGACCTTTGGACTTCAATTCCCAGAATTCCCCAGCCAGCCATGAATGTTGGGAGTTGAGCTCCACCAGTCCTAAAGTTGCCAAGGTTGGACACCCCTGCCCTAGAGTATTAAGATACTCTTTTTGGCATCTCTTTCAACTCAAGGTCCAACATGAGACGGGAAGCAAATTAGGGCAGCTTGTTTAATGCCATGATATAGCCTGACGTATTCATGGATCTGTTACCATTACAGCCATATTTTTCTCAGGCAAACCTCAGCTATGACAGCACAAGGTAAACAAGATGGCGCTTGCATGATACATGAAAAGCAAAGAAACACAACTATTAGCCAACTATGTTGGCTAATAAAAAATAGTGAATCCTTGCACTCAATCACAGCAAGAGACGAGTGGCAAATACATCTGCATACCCTTGCAGAACATGCTTGGAAAAAAATGAAGCCACAGGAAACTTAGTTCACCAACTTTAGGGTACAAGAGAAGGGAACCTCCACTCAAGAGGACAGCAGAAAACAAACCCAGGGTTTGTCTTTAATCTGTCGAGTCTTGATCCTCTTGCTTCGTCCAGACACAAAAAATTAGAGTCTCATTTCTGCATACCAGATTAAATTATTATAAATCATTTCCCCCTTATTTAATTTCCAATTGCTCATAATTTAATTGTAATGAATTCCGGGTTTAATAAGGTAATATATTTTCTATCAATTTCCTTTCATTTTCAGATATTAGCAGAAGTCGTATTTACAGAGTTGTCACCCTGCCTTTAAATTTGGCTGGGGACTGAATATTATCATCTATTCCCTTTCATCTTTAATAAGACATCTAAGCACTCAAGGTTACGCAAGCTTCAGAAAATAAAATTAGCCTTACGTGGCATGATTCCCTGGTCCACCAGCTGCTCTCTTGTGCGCCTTTGCTGTAGCTTCAACTGAAGAACTGGCAACAGAGAAAAGGGATTTATTACTTGACAAGATGGGAACTCTGTCCCACAGTTATAACGGCTGCATTCTTTAGAGAGCTCAATACTAGCTGGCATCAATCCTTAAAATTAAATGTTTAATCGGATCCAGGATACGTTTACTGCTCAGATAGTGAGACTGTGTACAGGCAACCCTCATCACAACTGTTCAAAGTCACAACGGCTCTAAAAAAAAGTGACTTAGGACCGCTTTTCACACTTGCAACCGTCGCAGCATCCCCCAGGGTCACGTGATCAAAATTCAGAGGCTTGCAACTGGCATGTACTTATGACGGCTGCATGTCCCAGAGGTGAAGAAAGGACATACAATGGGGCAAAACTCGCTGAACGACTGTCTTGCTTAGCAACGGAAATTTTTTGGCTCAACTGTAGTCCTAAGTCAAGGACTCTCGGTAGTGTGTGTACACAACACAGATGATTATCATCTGATGTTTTGGTGATTAGGATAGAGAATCTCTAAGATACAAATGTTTTTATGGGCAACAATATACAGTCTCTCCAGTGTGGCTTCATAAGAGTCACATTCTGCAATAGACAAACACTTAGGCCGGCGTTATTTCTCCTACACACACACAGCTCGGCACCACAAATATTAAAGCCAATGTACAGAGAAGACTGTCCATGGGGTTTTCGTGGCAAAGATACTGGAGTGGGTTGCCATTTCCTTCTCCATGGCAAGGCCATGGTTTTCCCAGTTGCAATGTATGGATGTGAAAGTTGGACCATAAGAAAGGCTGAGTGACAAAGAATGGAGGCCTTTGAACTATGGTGCTGGAGAAGATTCCTGCGAGTCCCCTGGACTGCAAGGCAATCAAAGCGGTCAGTCCTAGAGGAAATCAACCCCGACTGCTCTTTAGAAGGCCAGATCCTGAAGTTGAAACTCAAGTACTTTGGCCACCTAATGAGAAGGAAGGACTCACTGGAGAAGAGCCTGATACTGGGAAAGATGGAGGGCAAGAGAAGAAGGGGACGACAGAGAATGAGGTGGCTGGGTGGAGTCCCTGAAGCAGGAGGCGTGAGCTTCAAGGGACTCCAGAAGATAGTAGAGGACAGGAAGACCTGGAGGAACGTTGTCCATGAGGTCGCGATGGGTCAGACACGACTTCGCAACTAACAACAACAGAGAAGACATTGTTCTGATCAACATGTATATATGCACAAACACATCACTGAAACCCAACTAGCATAATTATTACAGATGCTCTTGTCTGGTGCTATTAACGCTTGTGAATGCATCATAAGCCAAAGGCAATCTCAGTCATCAATGTTCTTTGCAACAGCCCTTAGAGTTCAACCTGGAAACGGGACAAGAATACTAGCTGGCTTGTCTCCAGCAAAAAACTTGGACTCTTTGGGACAGCGCTATTCTCTCTACCACACCTATGGGGTGAGTCAGGGACATGGAGAAAGAGGAATAAGGGAGAGCCACATGTTTATAGCATCCACAATTTTATAAGCGTTCCAGATCAACAGAAAGGAGAATTTTATTTTCTGTGCAATCTACTTTTTATCAGTTTCCAGTTACATGTTAATGTTTACCCCTGGATCTGATTTACAGTAGGAAAATAAAATTTTGTAAGCAAGACTTTATCTCTCTTTTTAGCAATGGTTGCAAAATATTTTGAACTGGGAATCTATGTACAATACCTTTATTCTCTTCCTTAAAAAAAAAAAGAGTACGGTACATTCAAATCAAAATAATATTAAGGTATTAAAAACAAAAGCATCCAATTAACAAAATAAGTAATCTTGCTGCTAAAGTATATTAAAAACAATCCCCACAGAATGGTATTCTCGTTTTTCCAGAAAGAAAAATATAAATATATTCCTTTTCCTTAGCTGTGCTACTCCCTTTTCTTCTATTGGCTTTTGAAAGCCAATAGAATAGACTCTCTTGAATAGAGTCTAATTCTATTGGCTTTCAAAAGCCAATAGGAATTGTCCAGGCTGTCTCTGCCCTGCTGAGCCCGCCAAAAGTCCCATTCTGCAAATGGTGCTGCATCAGTTGAGTAGTCCTCGACTTACGACTGGTTGAGTAGTCCTTGACCTACGACCGGTTGGGGGGTCATGGCATTAAAAAGGTTGAGAACCACTGCTTTATCCAAAAGTAAGAAATGTACGACTTCTCTACCTAGAAGTACACAAATTTATTTTTCAATTCAGAATTAGCTAGTATACCTCCATCAGCAAAGACTTTTATATATGGAATTTTGAAATTTTGTAAGCTTCTTGAAGTCACCTAAATGTGAGTTGGGCAGCTATATACAGTAATCTTGTTTAATAAAAACAAACAAACACAGAAACGAACACATGTAAGGATTGAATGTATTTCTGGAGGATTTCAACCTGCAGCTATGCCATAATATTAAGACACAATACAAAAAGGAAAAAACTTCATCATATATAGCTACAGTTAGGATAAAAAGTCAAAACAGAAGCCAGTTTTTTAATATAAGGAAAGGCGACTCATTTCCTTATTTTTTTCAAAGCCTTTTGTATGCTGTGCTAATTTTTCCTTGGCAACAGAAAATAACTCGAAAGGAAGTTGGGCTGTAACTCTGTCCACTTCTTGCAGAGGCCAAGTCAGCGAGGCCTAAGAACAAACACAAATTATTAGGAAAGGAGCATTGGCTTACCTGAACGCCTGTTCTCAGCATGATGATGAAGAATCCACCAATGGGTTATTTCAGTCTTCCTGCCCAATCAGACTAAGTTGTCAAGTTGTCATGCCCCTCTTTGACCAGGATCTCCTAGTTTCATCGACGGCGTAGCCAATGACAAGCAGGTATCCCCCCCCCAAAAAACAAGAAAGGGAACAGGCCCCCAACCCTTACCTAATTAACCACTAGAAGGGAGGGCATGGATTCTTCATCATCATGCTGAGAACAGGCATTCAGGTAAGCCAACGCTCCTTCTCCAGCATGATGGCTGAAGAATCCACCAATGGGTCGTACCAAAGCTCCAGGAGTCCCTATGGGTGGGAATCAGTTGGGGCCTGTGAACATGATGGAGTTATCACGTCCTCATGGGTGAAAAACTAAGATGAAACTGGGAGGTCCCGGTCAAAGAGGGGCATGACAACTTGACAACATAGTCTGATTGGTCAGGAGGACTGAAATAACCATTGGTGGATTCTTCAGTCATCATGCTGGAGAACTGTAACTAATCTTTTAAAAACTTTGAACATCAACTATTTAAGTTACAATTATGTCAAAGAGTTCAGCCGTGTTACAATGCCAAACATCTGCATCTAGCACAATGCTGCGAAATCTACCCGTTTATTAAGGTATTGAGAAAGTCACTGGAGATTGCTGCTCTTAGTACAAATAGTCCTCAAATTACAACAATTCATTTAGTGGCTGTTTGAAGTTACGACACTGAAAAAAGGGACTTACGACCGTTTTTCACACTTACAATCGTTGCAGCATCCCCGTGGTCACGTGATCAAAATTCAGATGCTTGGCAACTGGTTCGTACTTATGACAGTTGCAATGTCCCAGGGTCATACAATCCCCTTTTATGACCTTCTGACAAGCAGTCAATGGGGAAACCAGATTCACATAACAGCCATGTTATTAACATGGCAAATGAAATGATTCACTTAACAACTATGGCAAGGAAAGTCATAAAATGAAGCAAACTCACTTAACTAGATGTTAAGACTCTAGAAAGAATACAGAGAAGAGCAACAAAGAGGATCAGGGTACTGGAGGCTGAAACATACGAAGAACGGTTGCTGGAATTGGGCATGTTTAATTTAATGAAGAGAAGGAGGAGGAGGGGGGACATGATAGCAGTCTTCCAGTATCTCAGGGGCTGCCCCAAAGAAGAGGGAGTCAAGCTATTCTCCAAAGCACCTGAAGGCAGGACAAGAAGCAATGGATGGAAACTAACCAAGGAGAGAAGCAACCTAGAACTAAGGAGAAACTTCCTAACAGTGAGAACAATTAACCAGTGGAACAACCTGCCTTCAGAAGCGGTGAATGCTCCAACACTGGAAGTTTTTAAGAAGAGACTGGACAGCCATTTGTCTGAAATGGTACTATAGGGTTTCCTGCCCGAGCAGGGGGTTGGACTAGATGACCTCCAAGGTCCCTTCCAACATCATCATCATCATCATTATTATCTAATGTTTCATTTAGCAACATGAATTTTGGGCCCAGCTGTGGTCCTAACTCAAGGACGACCTGTATTGACTCTATTGCAAAAAAAAAAAAAAACCCTAGCAATTGTAAGAACAACTGCTGCCAAAAGTACAAATGACATAGCTAAGCAGAAATCCTATTTGTTATATGGATTACCAAAATATTTATTGCTGCCAGAAACCCAATGCTACCTAAGCCATGGGCAAACTCCACTGGAAGAACCAGGCCCCAAACAATATCATAATGCCATTTCATCACACCGGGTTGTTTTTGCCAAAGAAAAAGGTCTAGGGTCACCTGCTTGAGCAGGGAGTTGGATGAGGATGTCCTACAAGGTCCCTTCCATCCCTGATATTCCCTTCTATTCCCCAAACTATTTAATGTCAGTCCTCTTCTTTAGGTCCCCCCTTCACTAAGTGCCCAGAAGGATGAAGGATGGAACTTCTCACTCTGCAAGGTCACACGTCATCTGATCTCATAGCTCACCCAGGTAAACCAAAGACAACATGAGCTCCAGAGCAGGACAATCTAAGTAGGAATCTAACCATGCCAACAACTGAAGCCCAACCTGCTTGCCAGAACCTCCTGAGAAGACTTGCAGCAGGGGTGGAACAGACACCAGTTAGACCAGAGGTCTTCAAACTTGGCAACTTTAAGACTTATGGACTTCAACTCCCAGAATTCCCCTGGCTGAAGTCCATAAGTCTTAAAGTTGCCAAGTTTGAAGACCCTGAGTTAGACTCTCAACTGTTGCATCCATCAACTGTTGCAATCCAACACTTCAGCCTCCACAAGAATACCTTCCAACTCTC